AAACTAAATTTTTATAAAATGTTAGAGAATTCGTACCCGGGTAGATCTGAAAAAATTAACGTTAAATCAATTATAAATTCGGGTCGTCCAAACTAAAGCAGGTAGACATTTCAAAATTTAGCCATCGTTCGAAGATACTTGATGGTAAAAATTCTGAGTTTTATTAAAATTGTCCGGGCGTGAGATTTTTACCAGCTTGGGAAACTTTGGTCTGAAAATGATCGTTCTTACTCAATTGCGCTCTCTTCCTTAAAAACCCGGTTCTTGCAACCTGAAGCAAGCAGCAATTTAAAATTTTCACCATCGTTAAACGAGACTACGGAAATTTTTTTGGGAGTTTCATAAAAATCGCCCAGATGCTCGAATTTTTCCAGCTTGGCAAATACCATCCTCAAAATGGTTGATCTTACCCAACTACGCGCTCAGGCCCTTAAAAATTCACATCTTTCATTCCAAAGCAAATAGTGATTTGGAATTTTCACCTGCGTCATAAAACATATTTGGCTAAAAATTCTGAAATTTTGTAAAAATTGTGCCTATGAGAGATTTTTTTCAGCTTGAGAAACATCGGTCTTAAAATAGATGAAATATCTCAATTGCGCTCTCTTCCTTAAAAAATCGCAGCTTGCAAACTGAAGCACTTAGACATTTTCACCATCGTTAAACGAGACTTTATGCTAAACGTTTGCAAAGTTTGATAAAAATCGGGCAGATGATCCATGGTTTTCAAGCTTGGCAAATATCATTCTCAAAATGGTTGATCTTACCCAACTGAGCACTGGCTCTTCAAAATTCAGATCTTTCATACCAAAGCAACTACTGATTTGGAATTTTTCCCTGCTTTATCGAACATATTTGGCTAAAGATTGGGAAAGTTTGGTAACAATCGCCAGGTCGAGATATTTTTTCCAGCTTTGCAATCATCGGTCTTAAAATGCATGTCATACCTCAATTGCGCCCTCTTCCTTTGAAATTTGCATCTTGCAAACTGAAGCAAGCAGCATTTTGAAATTTCCACCATCGTTAAAGGAAACTTCACTCAAAAAATTTTGAAAGTTTCATAAAAATGGTCCGAACGCCAAATTATTTCTAGCTTGGCAAATATCGGTCTTAAAATCGATCTTTCCACCCAGCCGCGCTGTTTCTTTTAAAAATTCGCTTGTTCCAAACTAAAGCCAGTAGTAATTTGAAAATTTTAGCATCTAACTAGAACACTTGTGGCTATAAATACTGAAAGTTTTATCCAAATTGTCGGGTTGGCAGTTTTTTTTCAGTCTGGAAAACACGGGTCTCAAAATTAATATTCTTACCCAACTGTGTTCTCGGCCACTAAAATTCATATCTTCCAAACTAAATCAAGTAGCTACTTGAAATTTTCACTATCGTTAGAAGAAACGTAATGCTAATAATGCCGGCATTTGTACAAAAATTGCCCCAGATCCTGATTTAGCAAATGTCGGCCTCAAAATGGATGTTTTTACCTAACTTACTGCGCTCTCTCCTTTAAAAATGGTCATCTCGCAAACTACCCTAAGAAGCGATTTCAAAATGTTCCCACCTATAGAGCGCACCTGGTGCTAATAACCCTGAAAGTTTCATAAAAATGGCGCAGATGGTCGATTTTTTCCAGCTTGGCAAATATCATTCTCAAAACGATTATTCTTAGCCAACTGCGATCTGGCTCTTAAAAATTCAGATCTTTCATACCAAAGCAAATACTGATTTGGAATTTCTACCTTCTTTATAGAACATATTTGGCTAAATATTGGGAAAGTTTGGTAAAAATGGCCTGGCCGAGATATTTTTTCCAGCATTACAAACATGGGTCTTAAAATGGATGTCATATCCCAATTGCGCTCTCTTTCTTAAAAAATTGCATCTTGCAAACTTAAGCAGGCTGCAATTTAAAATTTCCACCATCGTTAAAGGAAACTTTACTCTAAAAATTTTGAGAGTTTCATAAAAATGGTCCGAACGCCAAATTATTTCCAGCTCGGTCTCAAAATCCTATCGGTCTCAAAATCGATCTTTCTACCCAGCCGCGCTGTTTCTTTTAAAAATTCGCTACTACCAAACTAAAGCAATAGTGATTTGAAAATTTAGCATCTATCTAGAACACCTGTGGCTATAAATACTGAAAGTTTGATGCAAATTGCCAAGCTGGAAGTTTTTTTTTCAGTCTGGAAAACATGGGTCTCAAAATGAATATTCTTATCCAACTGTGTTCTCGGCCATTAAAATTTGTATCTTCCGAACTAAACCAAGTAGCTACTTGAAATTTTCACTATCGTTAGACAAAACGTGATGCTAATAACTAACCCCAGTCTCCCAAACTAACGTATGAAGCAATTTGAAAATTTCCCCACCTATAGAGCGCACTTGATGCTAATAACTCTGAAAGTTTCATAAAAAGCGCCCAGATGCTCGATTTTTACGAGCTTAGCAAATATCGATCTCAAAATGACCGTTTAGACATTATTTCTGCTGCTCGAAGCTAGATCCCGATTTCGTTTTTTTGCCGCCGCACTAAATAAATTTAAATGCACATGTGTACGGTCATTCATGGCTTTTTCAATTATTTTGAGCAACCATTATTCTCTTTATCGTCTATGCTTTAGAAGAACACTTCGACTATAAATTTGCAGATAACTTTAAAAACCCTCGATGATTCTTTTGTCCGAAGATTCCGTTTTTTTTTTATTTCAGGCATTTTTTGTTAGGAATAATACAAACTCACGTTTGAATTGTCGGCAATTAAATCAATTTTGAGTCTTTTTTCGCCGAAATGTAAGAACTAATTTGGTCGCAGATCGATTTTTTACCGAGTTTGGCGACTTCTGTCCCGTTTATTTTCATTTTGTATAAAAAATTTGCTGGTACCTAATCGTTTATTATTAAAGTCCACTGATTGCGTTCCTGTCCATATATTTTTTTTGAATAATAGATAGGAATTCTTACTAAGACAAAGTCAACACCCACGTCTCTGATGCCACGGAACTAATTGGCCTTCTGACTGTAAAATCACAAGATATGGTCGAAACCGTCTAATTTCGCATGTAAAACTCGTTCGCAGTTCGAGGAAAATAAAATTGCGGTTCAAACTATGTGACCGAAAACGACGATTCGAAATGCATTTTGCATTCGAAAAATGTACCTTCTATTAAAATCGTACGCTTTACATACCTGATAGAGTGCGGTGAATGAATGAATTACTCAATGCTTTTTGTGTGTGTGTTTGAGTGTTTGCAGAGACTTCAACACGTTATTTGGCCGAAATAAAGTCAATAAGGAAATGACTTTCTGGCAAAATACTGCCAAGGCTGTTTATGCGACTTGGACTATTTGCCAGATATTTATCGCATCGTAGAAACAACAGATTTATCTGTTTGCCCACAAACAGAGCGATTCATAGAGATGGAACTTGATAAGACTGTAACGAATTCAATAACATCAAGAAACAAAACTGCTTGGAGCTGTTTTCGAGCTTGTTAAATCACAATCTCCTGCTTGCATGTAAACAATCCGCGCCGCAAAAGGAGAAAAGCAGATAGAAGGTAAAACCAGAGGCTCAGATGGAAAACCATTATAGCGCTCAGATAATGGCCCTTCCAAAGCCTTTCATTTGCTCTAAATGAACTTCTAAATATAGACCATAATTTAGAATGTTGCGTAATTATTTTCTGCGGTTTGTGTCCCCAAAAATCGAGCAAAACAGCCTTTTGATAAAGTTGCCTATTTTATATTCATATACAGGGGAATCTCCAATGTTTTGACGCGTGCATCAATCACTAATGTTCGGTTCAGTTTTTGTCTTTCGTATTTTCCCCCGTGCATTTTTCATGAGCTAACTTGGGAGAAGAAGCCGGGTAGCAGGTGGGGTGAAAGCGAAGTGAACTGAATCAATATTAATAGATCCTTAACTCTTGTCGACGTTGCAAATTCGTTAAGTGCAGAAGGACGTTTTACTTTGAACTCGGTAGGAAAATTAATTGCCTTTCCCACCTCTTTCCGATTGCTTAATGGCCTTAAAAGGTCCGATGTTGGTGCCGATGCAATTAATCAATCAATGTGTGTTGCGCCAGATCATTTCTATGATCCAATATATCTCCAAATCAACACTTTGGTACAAGTTTTTCATGCATTTCTTCCAGGCTTGTGTTCCCAGTGTCATGGTCAATATGTGTCCAAATGAAACTGTTTCCAAATCGAATACTCATGATGAAACCGGAGCTGTTTTTCTGGACTTTGCAGGAAACGGAAATGGGATAGTGGACGATCACGGTTCAAACTTGGGGTTGGAGTCGTCCCCTGAAATGGCACTGGAAATAATCACTGCCACCCCGAAGAAGCAACATTTCGGGCTTGTTTAGCTTAATGGCAAGTTTCCGCTTGTAATTGAGTTAAGCCAAGCTGCAGCCATCGGGCAACTTGTTTATTCCTGCTGAATTTCCAGGAAAAACACATTTATTTGTTGTTATATTCGGCTTAAATTGATGGTTTATGACGGCATTTGCAACTAATTTTCTACTTTTCAAGTGTGGATTTGGTGAGAATAATTGGCAATTTTAGATTCCAAACGCGAAATATTTTGTTATAGAGTGAATTTTCACCATTGTATTTTAGGTTGGCGGGGACAATTGTTACTTTGAGGCTACAAAAATTGCATAGTTTACGATAGAATGAATTCAGGCGAGGTTTTATCGATTAGATTTCAAGATGTAAAAAATGAATTTAGTGGAAATTTGGTGGAAGCAACTGTTATAAGATTATTATGCATATAAGAAAGTGTTTGCCGTTATCTAATTTTAAAAGGTTATTCGATTCATTCGATAAGATCTTTATCTCATAGCAGTTAAAGATTTTCGAGCTTCAAATAACAACTTTTGCGCTTAAAACGCAGCAACTACTTCCATCAAATTCACAATATCCACCTGTTGTTTCCACTCAGCAATGTCCTGCTGTATTATAAGCACTTTTTCAGTATTTTTGCTTGGTTGCAGGATGCTAAACTGCGCCCAATCGTCACCATGGGCTCGCAGGATACGTTGGAAGAGAAAACGGTCACAGTGGTGACTGCCCACGATTTTGTCAATGTGAACTTCATCAATTTCTGCTGCACAAAGAAGGAAATCGCTCAACTGTGGACGGACGCCCTGCTATCACTCGCTTACAATCTGAACCAGGTTAATGGGGCCGCCCTCATGCATCTACGGAAGGCGTATACGAAATTGACCCTTCAGACTGATAAAAGTGGCAAAATCCCTGTTAAAAAGTAAGTTTTTGCGGTAAATTGTTTGGTCAAAGGTTGACAGATTCTCTACTCAAATTGGGGTAGATTTGATGGAGATCCAAAGAGGAAATAGTAGAAATAAGTAGGGACATATTTGCGCAGGAACTTTAAAGTTTTTTCGCATATTTGAATTTAAATCGCTGAATATTCCGAGTTTTTTCTTCATTCCAGTATAATCAAGATGTGCGCACAAAGTCGGGACGACAAGAAACGACTCGAAGCACTGTTAAGCGGCTTGGGGCTGCCCCATGGGAAAAACGACACCATCAATCCGGACGATTTTACCTTTGAGTATTTTTACAGTCTTTACGTGCAGCTGACTCAAAGAGGCGAAGTGGAAAAGGTGTTCGATGAGTAGTAAGTGATCTGACTGAGTCCAGCTCGTATCGTACTAAAATTCCAAGTGCTTTTCATCGTTTTCAGTGTGGGTACGAAAACAAACATGACGACCGAGCAGTTCGTCGACTTCCTAAACAAAACTCAGAGAGATCCAAGACTAAACGAAATCCTCCACCCTTATGCAGACAATGTGAGAGCTAGAGATGTGATAGAGCAATATGAACCTAACAGATATGTGGCTCAGAGGGGCCAGCTCTCTTCTGAGGGGTTTTTGCGGTATCTCCTGTCTGAAGATAACAACATTATATCGTCCAGTAAGGTACGAGAATTTATTTATTGGCACTTGGGTGGAAACGCGATTCTCGAATTAGAAGTTTTTCTTTTGGTTGATGGCTTTTGATTTGAGGTTTTTGATAACGCCAAGTTTAATGTTAGATTTTATCAACCAGCTGGGGCTGGGACATGGGCCAAAGCAGTTGCTATTGAAGGCCAACAGTGGCGAGGATTTTGCTCAAAGCAACTAAAAACAGAAAAGTTGCGGGACAAAAACTTTTTTTAAAATCAGTCAGGCACATTTCTTACAGTATTTTTATGCGACAAAAAGCGAATTTTAATGCACTATTTAGTACTGATGAATTCTGCAACTGAAACGAATCTAGAAATTCGAGCAAAAGACTAAGGAAGAACTTTGTAGCTTTTTATGACAACGATACACATTTCTATAATTAAGTTTTATGTAGAAAAATCGTATTCAAAAGCTCTATTCAGTAGAAGTAAAGGGGTTATGCAGCCCAAATGGTTGTCAAATTACCAGCAGAAAACTACGGTGAACTGAAATACGTTTTTATACTAAAATTTTGCATGAAAAAATGTGTTTAAATGTCTTATTCAGTAGAGAGAAATTAATTTTTGTATCTCGAATGATTTTCAAAATACAACCAAAAAACTATGGTAGACTTCAGAGCAACTGACTAATCTTAAACTTCGTCGTTTCTTTTTTTAGAAAATCGCCTCCTTTATAAGCAGCAGAAGTAAAGTGAGTTTTATAGCTCAGACGATTTTCGAAACACAAGCAAAAAACTGCGGTAGACTTTGGAAAAACGGACTAGTCTTAAACTTCGTCGTTTTCTTAGAAAATCAACCACATTTATAAATTAATACTTCATATGAAAAAAAGCGTGTTTAAATGTTCCAATCAGCATAGGAAAAGTGCATTTTGTAGCTCGGACGATTTTTAAAATTCGAGCAAAAAACTACGGTAGATTTCAGAAAAACCGATTGATCTTATACTTTGCCCTTTTCAAGAAAATCGCATCATTTATAAATTAACATTTTAACGGAAAAGGGCGCATTTAAATGTTCTATTCACTAGCGACCAACTGGGGAAAACTTTGGAAAAACTGACGAATCTTGAACTTCTCCGCTTTTTTAGAAAATCCGCCACTTTTACAAATAAATTTATATATCAAAAATTAAACGCAATTAATTGTTCTATTCGGCAAAGGCAAAGTGAGTTTTGTAACTCGGACAATTTTCAAAATTCGAGCATAAAACTACGCTATATTTCAAAAAACTGACTGATCTTGAACTTTGTCTTTTTTTGAAAACATCAGCTTCAGTTATAAATTAATATTTTAGCGGAAAAAAGCGCATTTAAATTCACTAGCGACCAAGTGAATTTTGTAGCTCAAACGGTTCTCACATTACGAACCAAAAACTACGGTAAACTTTGGAAAAACTGACGAATCTTGAACTTCTCCGCTTTTTTAGAAAATCCGCCACTTTTACAAATAAATTTGTACAACAAAAAATTAAACGCAATTAATTGTTCTATTCGGCAAAGGCAAAGTGAGTTTTGTACCTCGGACCATTTTCAAATTTCGAGCATAAAACTACAGTATATGTCAAAAAAACTGACTGATATTGAACTTTGTCTTTTTTTTTAAACATCAGCTTCAGTTATAAATTTACATTTTAGCGGAAAAAGGCGCATTTAAATGTTCTATTCACTAACGACCAAGTGGGTTTTGTAGCTCTAACGGTTCTCACATTACGAACAAAAAACTGGGGAAAACTTTGGAAAAACTGACGAATCTTGAACTTCTCCGCTTTTTTACAAAATTAGCCACATTTACAAATCAATTTTTACATGAAAAATAAACACAAATAAATGTTCTATTCGGCAAAGGCAACGTGAGTTTTGTAACTCGGAGAATTTTAAAAATACGAGCGAAACCTACAGTGGACTTCGGACAAACTGACTATTTTTTTTAGAAAATAGGGCATATTTTTAAATTAGCGTTTTACATAAAAAATAACGTATTTAAATTCTCTAATGAGTACAAACCAAGTAATTTTGTAGCTCAAACCGTTATCAAAATACCAACAAAAAACCGCGATAGATTTTGAAAGAACTGACCAATCTGGAACTTAGTCGTTTTTTATGAAATTCGGGCATATTTTGCGTTATATAAAACAAGTGCGTTTTGTATGGAAATAAATTGTATTAAAATGCTTTCTCCAGTAGAGTCAAAGCGAAATTGTAGCTCAAATAGTTTTCAAAATCCGACCAAAAACCCCTGTTACCTTCAGAAAAACTGAGCGATTTTCAATCGTCGTTTTTAATTCGAAAATGAGACACATTTTTAAACAAACATTTTGCATCAGAAAGAGCACATTTAATTGTTCTCTTCAACAGAGGCAAAGTGAGTTTTGTAGCTGACACGAGTACGGAAGACCTCGCAAAAAGTGACTACTCTAGAACTTCGCCGTTTTTTTCGAAAATCTGTCACATTTGCAAATTAACCTTTTATATATAAAACAACGCATTTCAACGCTTTATCCAAAAATAACCAAGTTACTTCCGCAAGCTTCGGATTCGAAAAACGCTGCGAACAAAAAGCTGCGGACAACTTCAAACTCATTTCAACACTCTTAATCCTTAACCGTTTTTGAACAAACCAGTCAAAATGTAGCAAAACCGTAGAATTTAAAATTAAATTTTCAATTTCCAGTTCGACTTAAGCCACGACATGGACCAGCCATTGGCGCACTATTTTATCAACTCCTCACACAACACCTACTTAACTGGACACCAGCTGACCGGTCGAAGTAACGCTGAGATGTACAGACAATGTCTCTTGGCTGGCTGTAGGTAAGAAAAACTCTTCACAAAGAAAACGTTTTCGTTTTTCTAATTAAAGCAAAATAATTCAGACTGAACAACTTGCAAAGCGCGCAATTTAGAAATCAGTGACCGCATAACGTTGCATCCGAAAGACGAGAGACCGCACTTGAAAACATCATTAAAACCGCTGAGATGGTGTCATAAAAGCGCTGTTTTCATCTCGAATTTGTCTTTAAAGTCATCAGTGTGTTCAAATTGTCTGTGTTCCAACGGTTTTAACTACCCGGATCGACAGACATGTGAATTCTACCAAAAAGAAAACGCAATTTATTGCTTGATTCATCGGGTACGACTGGAAACGTTGACCCAGAACGGAAATATCCCCAACTAAATATACATTTTACATGTGGAGCTAATTAGCCAAGTGTCATCGATGTTTCCGCAAAAACTGCTGAAAATACATGAATGATGTCTAATAGGAGATGCATCGAGTGGTTGAACTAACAGGAAAAATCGAACAGAATAGGGTAATTACTACATTCCCACGTTATCTGCCAAAACATTCCATTACAATGTTTGCCTAATTATTGGCAATTAATACTCCTGATCCCTCTTGACAGGCCTTTAATTAAAACAATGGCATGATTAATTCGATTTCGTTCTTTGCCAACTGACGCCAAAAAACTGAGTAGTTTTTACGTTTTATGTACATACCCTGTATATTGATCTCTAAGCCATACAAAACTCCTCTACCCTCTCGGTGCCAAAGGAATTGTGTGGGTTTTAGGCCAAGATTGATATTCTTCCATATTAATTTGAGCCCGAGAAAAAATGGTATGTTGTCGAAATATTCACGCCAAGATGATCAATAAACTCCAGAGAAAATAATTACGGTTTTGCGTCATCCGATTTCCAGACAAATCCTTGTCACCGTCTAGCGGATCCAGTTTCCTTCTCGAAATCACAATGGACAATGAAATAAAAATTCCGCAACAGCAAAAACATGATAAAGATGAAACTGGTGAGTTTTTCGGACTTGTGTTGTCGTGGAAAATAAGATGCTGAGCCAAGCAAACCATCTGTGAAGATGCAAGCCACTCTTGCTTGCGAAACGTCACGAAGAAGTTCCAGGGCGGCCTAAATACCCGAAGGACTCATCAGTTGATACTCAACTGTTTAGGCTGAGATTTACTGGTGGATTTTTTCACAATTTCATCTGCTTCTACTGCAATTTTGAATAACAATTCCAATAATAACTCAAAAACGTTCACTTTTTCAGGTTTTTCCAGTTGTTTTCTTTATGCTTTGTCAACCTTCCTTGTCATCTGCATTAGAAAGTTACATAATTTGGCTCTAGCTTTCATGGATTAATTTCTGAGAATTCTCAACGTTCTGAAAATGGATCGCATCACTTGAATTCCAAACCTATTAATTCTCACATAAAACATTGATTGCCAATAAATAGCATCCTTAATTTGTTTCATAAATACGAAAAATCGGTTTACATCGAATGTAGATTAAAAGCGTATATTTAAATGTTTACGTCGTTTCTCGCCATTCGTAATGGATGAAATACAATTCGCGCATTTTTTCGCTCTTTGGAAAAATAAATTCGAAGTTGCTACGACGATAAACTGTATAAGATCAAGATTGGGTAAACAAGCAAATTTATAAAATACAGCAGCCGGCCACGCAACAATACAGTAACTCAGTTAAAGTTGAATGTCATTGGGAAAACAGCCTCGAGCGAATTTTCCTAGACTATCCAACTTTTCCAATCAATGGAAAATGAGGCAGTTGTTTACATGTTGAAAAAAGATGGGAAAAACTCGACATTCAGGCTATTTTTGGAAGAAATCGGCATGCTGAAAACCGAATAAGTCCATTAAAGTGGGCAACTTCTTTCCAATTATTGAACTTGGTCTGCCTTGGCTAATAAACCAGCAACTTCCAAGTGGAAATTGGCTATTTAATTATGGTTTTAGCAGATAAAATCCTGCAAACTATTATAGAGACTGAAACTCCCCGCTTTTTAACTGCATCAAAATAGGTGAATAGGAAAGGTTTCCTGTCTAAATGAGTCTAAACTCGCCAGAAAAAAAAATGGGATCAAAGGGGTTGGGCTTTTTACGTAACAAGGTGGCGCAAATCCCGTCTTGTTATGGGGAATTGGGTAGAGGCAACGATTGCACTGGAAAGTAAATTTGAAGCGAAAAAAATTCCACGCGGATTTGAGGATTTCAAATGGAAAATAAAATCAGGCTTTTGAGATTCGCCGACTGAGCTTTTGGGCTCGTCTATAAAATGAATGGGTAAATGAAATCACCGTCTGTCTGCTTTGTGCTCTACAGGTAGAGATCTGATCTCGAAGCAGCGGAATCCTTCTATAATTAGATGGAGTTTCTCAACTTGAAATTGGTCTTTTTGATGAATTATCAAATGTTAGAAATACTACTTGCCTTCTCCATTACACATTCCTTTAAGTTGAGACAAAAAATCGTGACAACGCAATTATTTTACGAAAAGACACGATTTCAAGCTGATAATTACAACAACAAAATTTAACATTGAAGAAGCAGTTGGTGAGCATTTTATTCAACAGTTGATGAGTGCTCGAACACAGTTCTTAGTTGTGTAGGTGTTTTTTCAAAAATTAATTATGTATAAACTAGGTTAGGCATAAACGCGCTTGTTACTTCGTTGAAAAGAGAAGTCACTCCTTTAAATTGCCTAAAAGTTTTATTTTCCAGAAAAAATCTGGAAAGCATTGGCGAGCCTTTGATTCAACACTTGATGACGCTCCAACTTATCTCTAAGTCGCATAGTTCAAAAATTTAATTTGCAAAAACGACGGCAGTTAAAAACGCGCTTCTTACCTAATTGAAAAGGCAATGATTTGCTTTAAATTCCCTGACAGTATAATTTTCAGAAAGAATCTAGTAAATATTGGGGGGGGGGGTTTCAACACTCAGGCGCTCCAACATATCGCTATGGTATATATAGGTGCAAAAGTGTTTCTTCAAAAATTCAAGTTGCAAAAACTGCTCCAGATAAAAGCACGCTTTTTGGTCAATTGAAAAGAAAAATATCCGCTTTAAAAGTCCCGTAAGTTTCACTTTCGACAAAAAATCTGGTAAACATGCGGCTGTTTGACGGGCGCTCCAACATATATTTTAGTCGTATCTTCAAAAATTCATTTTGCAAAAAATACGCTAGATGGAAACGCGCTTGTCGCCTCATTGCAAAGCAAAATATTTGCTTTAAATGCCTCGGAAGTTTCATTTTCCACAAAAAATTCGGTAAATATTGGCGAGCGTTTGATTCAACGCTTGATGGGCGCTCCAATACATCTTTTCAATGCGAAGATGTGTTTTCAAAAATTCTGTTTCTTAAAACTGCGCTAGATGGAAACGCGTTTGTCACCTGATTGCGAAGCAAACTATCTGCTGTAAATGCCTTAGACGTTTAATTTTTCTCAAAAAATCCGGTAAATATTGGCGGGCGTTTGATCCAACACTTGATGGGTGCTCCAATATATCTCTTCGATGCGTAGGTGTATCTTCAAAAATTCTGTTTGCAAAAACTGCGCTAGATGGAAACACGTTTGTTACCTGATTGCGAAGCAAAATATCTGCTATAAATGCCTTGGAAGTTTAATTTTCCTAAAAACACTTTATGGGCACTCCAATATATCTCTTCGTTGCGTACGTTTTTGTTCTAAAATTGAATTTGCAAAAACTACGCTAGATGGAAACGCGTTTCTTACCTCATTGCAAAGCAAAATATTTGCTTTAAATGCCTCGAAAGCTTAATTTTCGACAAAAAATCCGGTAAATATTGGCGTAGGTTTGATTCAACACTTGATGGGCGCTCTGACATAACTCTTAGTTGCGTAGGTGGGTTTTCAAAAATTCCGTTTGCAAAAACTGCGCTAGAGGAAACGCGCCTGGTACCTTATTCCAAAGCAAACTGTTTGCTTTAAATGCCTTGGAAGTTTAATTTTCCACAAAAAATGCGGTAAATATTGGCGAGAGTTTGATTCAACACTTGATGGGCGCTCCAAGGTATCTCTTAGTTGCGTAGCTGTTTCTTCAAAAAATCAATTTGCACAAACTGCGCCAGAAGGAAACGCACTGGTTACATCAATAAAAAGAGCAATCTTCGATTTAAGGCGGTTAAAGGTTTGATTTTTCGGAAATTGTTTGGGCAATATTAACAGCTTTTTGAAATATCACTCGACTTGCGCCCCGACATCTTTTTTTGTGAAGGTGTTTATTCAAAAATTCATTTTTCAGAAACCCATCTAGATATAAAGTCACCCCTTACACCGTTTGAAAGACATAATTCGACTTAAATACTTGTGAAATTTTCATCGTTAACAAAAAGCCTGGTCAACTTTGGCAGGGTTTTGAAAAACAACTTTATTTAAAAAAGTTAAATTACCAACTATTCAATGAAATCCGTAAATTCAACATTCTCTTTCGCGTAAAACTCGTTGACTCTCTAGAATATCCCTAAATAACATTTTTAGAGAAAAATTAAAAAATGGAGACTTAGTTTCAAACACTTACCCTAAACTAAGCCGCTGAAAGGAATAATACTAGCTATAAAAAAATTATAGAAACTCGCCCATGAATCGGAAGGTTCGGAAACTTTGATAAAGGTTTTTTTCAGAAAAATGACAAAACAAAATTTAGTTTTTGTATGGAAATGAATATTGTGAAAGAAAAATGTACGAAAAAAACCGAATCAGGGAAAACTAACGTAAAATAATCCAACAATTTGCCCACTTTAGCACCGTCTCGTTCTTCCTGCACCAAATTCACCAACTTTTGAGAATGCAGTGAAACAATATTAATTAAAGCAAACGAAAAATTATTTTAAATCTGTTTCTGCGAATAATTTGCATCAAACAATCGGAGTTATTTTAGTTTATTCAATTGTTGTTCATATCGTCTATTCCCGTCATGAGATGCTAAATAGAGTTGTTAATGATCGAGACCAATTCTGGTCTGTTTCATGTTTTCTTAAGAAAATCCACTCCTTAACCAGATTTACTTGAAATGTCGTCTGCAAATCGCCAATAAATCATTCCAGTCATTTAATCTTGTTTGCGACAACAGAAACCCAACATTCTGGTAGAATTTCTTCTGTCTGATTCCATTTCCTTCTAGTTTATATAAATTCTATTTCAATGGCGTGTCACTTATGCTCTGATTAAGAGACAAAGCGCTAAATTATCTACGATGGCTCACTTAGGAAAATTAATGGCTGATATTTATGTTTTCTAGCAGTCATAGCCAAGTGATTTACTACTCCATTATATCCAGGATTTTATGGAAATGTCCATGTTATTTATTAGCGCGCCCTTTGACTGTGGACCCCTAAAGGCGAAAGTGATTTATCGAAGAATCAGAGATAAAACCAAAAAAAAGTTCATTCAGGATTATTTGAATCCCGATAGGATGCGACTCAATGCGGCCAATGTGTCGTTTGGTTTTATGGAATTTAACCCCCCACATTTAATCAACGTAATCTTTTCACTAATGTCGAAAATCCATTAGTGGGAGCAGGCACAAGACCTAAATAGCCCAACAATTGCATTAAGCTTTGCCTCTAATTAATCCGATCTCAATCCTACGTTCTTTGTCCAATTAAATACCCTTTTGACTATCTATTTGTGCGTTTTAATTGCAAATAAATCTGGTTTTTCCCTGATTCTTCTTGTGAATTATTGTTGCACTGGGCAGTTGATCAAATTTAGGAACTTTTTTGCTGGAACTTTTTCGTTCAACGCATAGTTTTTGAAAAAAAATTAATCAAAACCTGATTGAATGCATATGGAGGTTCGTTTAGAATTCGTCGTGGGTGGCTGGCGGTTTTACTAAACAAACCGTTTTATTTTTTGACGGTTTTTATTAATTCGATGCCAGAGTAGTTCCTTTGGAATGTGTGCCCAGAAAAATCCGGGAAAATATACAAAACGCCATTTTGAAGGCCACTTTTTCTGTAGCTTTTTATCCGTTTCCAGACCCGATCATGTGAATTTCAAAAAAATTTTGTTGAAAAACGCCCGAAAGAATAATTGGCTGTCTGATTGAAAAAGTTAGACGTTTCATGAGGCACATTTGGGCAAAATTTGTTGGCGACCCATAAAGAGCTGCGCCCCATAAAGGGCCCTCAAAACAAAAAATACGTATATCTCTAAAACGGTTAGAAATAGCTGTCTAGAGGATACAGTCGTTTTGAGTCAGCATCGCTGGAGCTTTATTATGGCATACAAATTATATGACTTTGCCCTTTTAAGGGGCCCAAGAATGTTCTGGTGCGCTTCAGATGGGAAACGGCTGAAAATATATCGGCGGGTGTACGCACATTTTCGACAAATAATTTTGAGGTATTTTTTGGGGTGCCAGAAAATTTGAAATCGGGCTAGGGCTTCGCCCCCTTTCAGGCAGGTGAACGCTTAAAATCGTCACATCTTGCAAATGGTTGAAAATAGCCCAACAGTTGCACTGACATTTTCGATAGTCCGTGGCAAGAGCTTCTTTTTCGCAATTAGGTTTTATTACAAATTTCCAACCTCCGAAGAGATAGAAGTCAAAATGTAAAAATCTGGGTTTTTTTAAGTTTAAGACGCCCGTACCTCGGAAACGGGTAAAAATTTGTTTTTTTGTTGAGAACGTCTTCGATAGGGGCTTTTTAAAGCTGTCTTTTTTGTTAAAAGTTCTGTCGAAATTTATAACCTCAAAAGAGTTTGAGCCAAAACTTGGTGGACTATTCTAAATTTTCATGAATATCTCGGAAACGATCGAATGTATCGAAAATTTCATTAAGAGCTTTTCCATAAGGAATCTCAATAGCTATCTTGTGCTGATGCAGGATTTTCATAAATCCCTCAGCGCCAAGAGATAGAAGCCAGAATATCTGAATTATTCGAGTATCCGAAATTAAACCTCCTGAATCTTGGAACCACTTTAGTAGAGGATTTTTTTGCGAGTCTCACTCTCTAGTATTAGGTTTTCTTCTATCATTAATAAATCAATGAATAGCACAATAATTCGCAAAACCGTAAAAAAACTCTTGTATATATTATTCAAAAAAGAGTGAATGTTTGCAAAATTTCCTCTTTATTCCAGATGTGTAGAGTTGGATTTATGGAACGGCGGACGGGCAGAAGAGCCGGTAATTGTGCACGGTTACACTTTCGTGCCGGAAATATCGGCCAAAGAAGTTCTAGAAGCCATAGCAGAGAGCGCATTTAAAACCTCCGATTACCCAGTGGTGCTCTCATTTGAGAACCATTGCAATCCGAGGCAACAAGCGAAAATAGCCAACTATTGCCGGGAAATCTTCGGCGAGATGCTCTTGGATGCGCCAATAGAAAACCATCCATTAAAAGACAGTTGAGTAACTTGATTTTTCCAATTATTTGCAACTAATTGGTTCCATTGGCTATTTAGAACAGCCGCTGCCTCCGCCTTCGATGCTGCGCCGCAAAATCATCATCAAGAACAAAAAGAAGCACCATCGACATAGGAAAGAACTAGAAGAGGGCGACTCTGGAATCGAGAACCAGAATTGCACCGATCAAGCGCTCAAAACGGTGATAGAACATCCGGAGGAGAATTCTACTGATCAAGAGCCCGAAGGTCCGGAAGGAGCAAACGGAAGCAAACCGACTGGTAATGGGGTTATTCTGCACCATCCTCCATCTCTGCAGAATAGACAGGTGAAACCATCTTGGAGGGTTGAGGGGTTACGGTTTTCTAAAATGGGGTTCTTTAGGCTTCCAACGAATCAGCCAGCACCAACGGTTCCAGTACGGATGCGGATGAGGAGCCTGAAGTAATGGAGGGCGAAATCCCGCTCAATAAGAGCACGGATCGAGGCGAGGATGGAAAGGCGCCCACTGGGGAATCGGAAGCAGGGGCGGAAATTTCCGCTCTGGTCAACTATGTGCAACCGGTGCATTTCGTCAGCTTTGATGAGTCTGAAAGTAAGTTTTAGTAGGTAAATGTTGGTTATTCCGAAAGAGGGTTTGAGACCGAAGTATGATGCAACTGCTTATACTGGCGAAGCGTTTGGAAGATTTCTCTAGTGGGGTTTGTTTTCCAGAATCCTTTTCAGTGGCTCAAACTCTCAAACTTCCCCAAATCATTTTCGCATTTCTCCCTTAGAGCTTCTAGCTTTTTATCATTGTTCTCGGGGTTTTAACGCGCTATCCGATCAGAAAAATGCATGTTTCTCCTGAAGAAGGTGAAAATGATGTTTGCTTCCAGATAGGAAAAGATACTACGAAATGTCTTCGTTCGATGAGCGGCAAGCTACTCTGCTGCTCAAAGAATACCCGACCGATTTCGTCGACTACAATAAAAAGCAGCTGAGTCGAGTATATCCTGCAGGCACCAGGTGATTGTCGTTCCAAATGTTGAACATTTTCAGAATTTCCTGAAGGTTTTAAACGAATAAAATCGTGCAGGTTCGATTCCTCGAACTTCATGCCGCAGGTCTTTTGGAACGCCGGCTGCCAGCTGGTTGCCCTCAATTTTCAAACTCTGGATCTGGCCATGCAACTGAACCTGGGCATTTTCGAGTACAACCTTCGTTGTGGGTATTTGCTGAAAGTGAGTTGGCTTGTTTAACTTTAGTGGAATTGTGCAACATCTTGCGGTTTCCAGCCGGATTTTATGCGGCGACAAGACCGGACTTTCTATCCGTTTGCTGACACCACCGTGGATGGAATAGTGGCGGGAACCGTGAAAATCCAGGTGATTTCCGGACAGTTTCTCAGCGAGAAGAAAGTGGGCACCTACATTGAAGTGGAAATGTATGGCCTGCCTGCCGATACCATAAGAAAGCGCTTTAAGACCAAAGTAAGTTCCAAGCTTCTGGATGGGTCCTGAAGTTATTTGTCGGGGGTTTTTCAGGTGATCCCCAACAACGCAATAAACCCAGTTTACGATGAAGAGCCTTTTGTGTTCAAACGCGTGGTTCTGCCGGGTTTGGCCTCGATTCGAATCGTTGCCTATGAGGAAGGAGGCAGATTCATCGGGCACAGAATATTGCCGCTTACCTCCATAAGTCCCGGATATCGGCATGTTAATTTGAAAACCGAAATGGGTCAGTGCCTGGAAAACTGTTTAAAACCCTCGCTGATTTTTGAAAATTTCCAGGACAGCCACTGCCGCTTGCAACCGTCTTCATCTACGTGGTAGTCAAGGACTACGTTCCAGATGGACTGTCCGAATTTGCCGACGCTTTAGCCAATCCCATCAAGTACCAAAGTGATCTGGATAAGCGCACCCATCAACTAGCAGTGCTGACTGAAGGCCTGGAATTAACCGAACAGGAGGAAGCAGTGCTGAAGAAAAGCAGCGTGGCACTAGTGAGTTTCCTATTAACTCTACCCAAAATTTCTAATTATTTAAATCCTCAGAACTCCAAGGAACAAGTCAATGGCAGTCCTGGTCAACGTCCTTCGATTCCTACGGGATCCGCTTCGGTTGAACTGGTAGCTGCGGAAAATCCAGCGGCGAATCCAGCGGCAACAGCCACAGTAAGTGCAGTCGAAAACACCGTTCCTCCGGAAGCAAATTCCGTAAATAAACCGCCTCCAGCCGATGATTTTGAGGACAAGTTCGAGGAAGTTCCCGTGGAACCCCTGGAGAAAATTTGGGAAAACAAACAAGTCAGAGGTAAGGAACCAGAGTTGAAAGATTTACGAATAAAGCTCAGCTGTTTTTCAGAGAAAAAACTCGAGCTGGATAAAAAGCTGGAAGCCCTAAGGAAGAAATTCGAAAAAAAGAAGCAGACCTTGCAGTCGCAGAAAAGTGGCGATTACTCGGAGAAAAAGTCCAAACTAATCAACATGAAATTAGTCAAGCGCCTTTCCAGCAAAAACATGTAAGTGACCCAGCAACTGTTCCCATTAATTCAAAAAACCTCATTAAAATCACACAAAAACCCATGGGATTTTCGCCTCATCTTTAGCCTGTTTACCAGCGTGAGCGGCGTTTTTTCCACTGAATCCCCGAGCGTCGAACCGCTGACTTCAGTGGCTGACGACGCAGAAGGAGCAGCGGGTACCTGCGCAGACAGTGAAACCACTCTGCCGCGCAGCCAATCAGAGCGCCTGCTAGCCATCAGCAAGGATTACACTACCCAGGAAAAGGAGCTGCGCGAAAAGTACTTCGAGCTTATCTACAGCACGGCCGAACGAGTGATGATTCAACGCCAGGATAATCAGAAAGCTGTTCTAAAGGTACGCAATTTTTTTCCAGCTTCAAAGTGCTTGTAATGTCTCAAAAGCGATCGGGCTGTTGTCCGGAGTCTCCAGAAAAATCCACGTGTTCCCAGTTTCAAATTTCGAAACCGTCTTGACCGTACTGAGCTGCAGTTATATTCAGGGTTTTCTTCAGTTTTTTTAATGAGATTTTTGGAAAACGCAAACGAAAGAAAGGAGTTTTTCAGTTTCAAATGCAGTTTTCTTTTAGGACTGTCCAATAGCAAAAAAATTAGAAACTTAGTCTTTAGGAGAACAACAACTTCTTCAGTGCTTTCGTTCGTTCTTCTAAGCGAGCTTCTAACTCAGAAAATCGCCAAAAATCTAGGAAAAACTTGAGCGAATCGGCACTTGCAGCTCTCAAAGAGCAAAACTTTAGTTTGGTTGACAAATTTTCTAAAGCAAGAAAAGGCTTCAACTTCTGCCCATTTTTAACAATTTTGAATGAGAGAGAATTTGGAGATTTAAAAAGTGCAACTGGAAAAATAAAATCCATTTCATTGGCAGTTCGAGGTCTTATAATCCATCAACTAAGCACATTTCACGTGAATTTCCTCGTGATTTTTCGTTTGTTGTTTCAGGATCGATTTGATAAAGAGGTGAACATTCTGGTGCGAAAAATCCAGGCCGATCACAAAGTGGAAGTGAAAATGTTGTCAAAGAAACACCGAAACCGAGACACGCTCAACAGGGTGAAACGAGAAGCCATGACCGCAGTGTTGGATCGCGGAGTGTCCGTTAAAGACAAACTTTTCGGCGTTTACAAGAAACGGGAGGAGGAGATGGTGAAACAACACGAAACTGTGCGGATACAGTTCAAGGAGCATCGAGAGAAGGTGCCCGGCAACATCAAAGTAAGGGCATGAGCAGTGTTTAATTTTGTTTTCTGCATTTCAGGAAAGAGTGGCCCTTCGGAAAGAATTCGAAACCCGCCTGTCGAGAGTCGAAGGTGAGTCCAGCGGCGTAGTGATATAAATCCGCCCCTAATCTGGTTAAAGGGTAAAAGTTTCAGCACTTCCAAAACAAGACGGTTTTGCGAAGCAATCGCCACTCATTCCCCAATTGTCGATCGCTTTTGATTAATTTTTTTTCGAGGCAATGACGGTGCGATACGGATATTTTTACGATTAAAACGCGACAATCAGCTCTGAAACCCAAAGCGAAACACACACTTTGAACACTGTATTTGGTATTTGATAGATACACTTAGTTCCTTTTTCGGTATAGCCAAAAATAAAACACGCGCAGTTCAGTTGGGGATTTTGCGGAATTTTCTAGATCCGGGTTTTCGATTGCATTTAAGCAAAACTCTGCAAATTCCCCGCCTAGTTAGATTCGACTTAGCGAAATAAACTCTAGGAAGTTGATGTATTTTCGTCGTTTCATTGTGATAGTAGACGTTAGGTGAAAGAGACATAAGTGATATTTTTGCTTAAGTACTAATTGCTTCTTTCCTTAGGGCCATTTTTCACTATTTTCCCACTGAGTTCTTTGATAAATTCTCTGTTAATTCATTGCTGTGGTAGTTGGCAGCACTGTCCCAAAAACACTTAACAACTATAAGAGTTGACAATATTTTGCCAGGCAAAACTCTCACTTACCAAATAGTCTTTAAATAAATTTGTATTTGTAACAGCCTGTTGACCAATGAGCTCATTATTAACTTGCAATCTTAAAGCTGAAAAAGCTTGCTGGTTTAACAGGCTGTTTGACAAAAATTGTAAATTATTAACACTGTAATAGCGGGCAGAATGAACGAGTATTGGTAACCCAAAGAATAAAATATTTAGCATTAAATTAAACTAGCATACTCATCTAGTCAAAAATGTAAAAACATACTTAGCCCTAACAAGTAGTAGCATAAGAATAAGAATTTACTGGTAATAGGAATCATGTAATTTTTTTTTTTTCTGCGTTTGTGCAATATATCTGATGTAAAAATGCATGACTTTTAGCTTGGTGATGGAATCGTTTAACACTCCAAACCGCTTAAAACCGACTGACCAACTCTATTTCTTTTTGCTTTTAAATCGAACATGAATTGTTGTAGTGTTGCCTAAACATGTTGTCTGTTTTTGCAGTGTCTTCGGCGAAAACCCTTGAAACGGATAGTCCGGATGTCTATATTCCCTTTGTGCCATCAAGAACCAATCAGTTGATGCATTATGCGAGCATTCTATCTGTGTATAAGTAGGGCTCTTAATGCTTTTGCGGGCAAAAAGAAATAGAAAAGTTGGTGGATGCGTTCCAGAATGTTTCATTTCTCGATTTTTTTGCACAAAATAAACCAGAGTCGACATTCCAATGTTCTCAATGCATACACTAAATAGAGGCACTGTTGTTACTTCAATCCGAACCTGGACGTGTATTCCTGACAATTTTAGATCGTTTTCTAAAGTAAAGGTAAAGGTTTTACTGTTTTATGAATTTTGGTACACAAGTTTACATAAAATTAACGGATTTTCCATTAAATACAGATGATTTAACAAATAAAGATGAATTTCAAATGAGCGGGGAAAAAATCCCCAATCCGGCTCGAAGGACCAAAATCTTGAGCCATAATCCTAAAACCTTATAAATTTGCGGAAACTGTAATCGTCAAAAAGTGAGCAAGTTTTTGTTTCACATAAAGACAACGAAGGAAAAATGTATTGCTCCCAAACCAAAGCAGGGCGAAGTCTGAAATTTTAAGGGTGTGGAGCAGAAATGTGAAGCTAAAATTTGTTAAAGTTTCACTGCATGCCGCTTAAGAATTGATTTTTTAAAAACACCTAAACTTTAGTCTCCAATAAACGAGCAACTGAACTTAGCAGCTACACGGAAAAAAAAATATTGCTCCGAAATAAAGCCAGGCAAAGACTGGGATTTTACTGGTGTGGGGTCGAAATTTGAAGCTAAGATTTTGCAGAGTTTTACTGAAATTCGCACGAAGAATAATTTTTTACAAGCATCCAAACTTTGGAGGCCAGAAAGTGAGGAACTGAACTTGGCAGGTACACAGAGAAAAAATTAGCTCCCAAACTTACGCAAGGAGAACCCAACAATTTTAAGTGTGTGGAGCCGAAATTTGAAGCTCAGGTTGTRCAAAGTTTTAGTAAAATTCGCAAAATGATTGATKTTGTACAAACGTCCARACTTTAATTGCCAAAAAGTGAGCAACTGAACTTTGCAGCTGCACAGAGAAAAATMAATTCCTCCAAAACTGAAGCAAGGAAAACTCTGTAATTTTAAGCATGTGGAGTAGAAATATCTGACTGAAAGTTACACAGTTTACCTCAAAACGCGTAACGATTCACTTTTTAARAGCATCCAGATTTTAGTCGCCAAAAAGATAGCAACTCAACTTACCAGATACACAGAGAAAAATGCAATGCTGCWAAACCAAGCCAAGGCGATATCTAGAACAGTTAAGGGCGTGGAGCAAAAATATGAGGCTAAAARGGTGGAAAGTTTCTCTGAAATTCGCATTTTGATTGATTTTTTAGAAATTTCCAATATTTAATTRCYAAAAAGTGAGCAACTGAACTTAGCAAGAACACAGAGAAAAATTAATTCATCCTACTCCAAAACTAAAGCAAGGCGAAGTCTGGAACATTGCAGGTGTAAAGTAGAAAAGTCAGGCTAAAACTATTCAAAATTTCACTTAAATCTGCACAAATGTTGATTTTTCACAAGCATCCAAATTTTAGCCGTGAAAAACTGAGCAGGGACACAAAGAAAAATTTGTKGCTCCAAAAGGAAGGCAGGGCGACATCTGAAATATTTAAGATTGTGGAGTAGAAACATGTTCACATTTTCACTCAGACTCACGTGAGATTTTTGCCAATCATTCAAACTTTAGTAGCAAAAAAGTGAGCCACTGAACGTAGCAGGCACACAAAGAAAAATTGTTGCGCCAAAACCATGGCAGGGCGATATCTGAAATTTTAGGATTGTGGCATCGAAGCATGAAACTGCACTTGTACAAATTTTCCCTTAAATGTCGTTCATGTCAGATTTTTTAAAAGCTTCCAAACTTTAGTCGCCAGGAAGAGAGCAACTGAATTTAGAAGATACACAAAAGCCACAACTTTGTGCAAAATAATGACCCAAAAATCAGTAGTTTTTACTCATTTTAATTAAAATCTGGAAGTTTTCGGTTTAAGAAACTATTGGCGGATCACGTCTGAGGGTGGCACTCAGTCCTGTGGACAAAACTTGTTCTATCAACAAGCTAATCGACTCTGGTTGATCCTTTTTGAGTAAATTAAATCAACCTTGACTTGTCTCAACCAAGTTCAGTTGAGAAGTAAAAGTCTTCAAAATGAATCAACTTTTGCCGAACTTTTTACATGTAACGATATATTGTTTATTCGAATTGTGATTTAGTTTGTACGTAGAAGTGACTTCTACACTTTTATAGAGACTGAAAGGCTTTTCTGCGTTATGTATATTGAGATTAACGGGCATTTCCATGTTGGAATCTCATCGTTTCTCAAATCTCTCAAAGTAATTTTGTGAAAAACTGGCAATTTTAGATGAGGTTTCAAGTGGGAACGTCCACAAATTCAACTGTTTGATTTTCAAACTGAATTTAGATTTTTTGGGGAAAAAGGTCAATCGTGTGTTTACATCCAAAACTCATTCAGCGCGACATCTAGGACTTTATCAAAACGGGCTTTTGAAATTTTGGGACTTTTAGGTAACGGCACGCGAAAAATGGAAAACTGTTTGAAAATAAAACAGCCAATTAATATTAAGTGATATACATAGAGGGTTTGTTGCGGGTTATTAGAATGTAGTTTGCGAAATTTGATATTTTTTAGACCCTTGATGAACCACCCATGTATGTAGCTACTAGTTTTGTTGGAAAAAATATGTGTTCTTGCTAGAAACTAATCATTTATTGGATGATTGAAGCCATTGAAAGTGCCAGTGGAAGCTACATAGATTTGGTTTTTTAAACCCGATTATTTAATTGAGTAGTCTGCATGCATCAAAAGTACTTAAATAATAAATTGTATCCTAAGAAAATTGCAATATAGCTCGTAGATCTACTTTGTTTAGTCGAGATTCGTGATGATGTTGTATTAGTTTGTCGATAACGGCCTACCATTCAACCAGTTCCGTTTCCATCTTCTAATTGTTTTTTTTACCAAAAACTCTAGTCAATGTACTTAAACAAACGATCGTAACACTGAGCTATACACTAAGCAATCTGCCAAAGCGACACAGGTTTAAACAAACTCTATGATAAATAACCTTTGCAATTATTATTGAATTAGATCGAAGTACATTCCAGAACTTTGTTTTTTTCTTATTAGTTAGTCGGTTTGTTCGTTTGATACTTTGGTACTTTGATATCTGACGGTTTTGTATTTTCCAACTTGTGCCTTTCATAATTTTACTGTTCTTTATATTCGTCTAAATCATGTATTACATGTATTTCATAATGATGTTAATGTCTAAATAGATTTTATGTGCTATATATGTGATTGTTCATCATTTATTCCTTAATTTCAGTCATAATACTTTATATTACAGCGTTAATTAAAGGTAAGAATAATTGTTTGCATTTCCAAGGTTTATGCCACATTTTTATTCAATACATTAAACCACTAAAACAATAATTTAGCAAATAAATGAAACCTTTTTGGTGCTTTATTGGTTATGTTAGATTAGTACTAACAGTCTGAGATGATCTTTGTAACTGCCACTGTCCAAAGAAGCACAATTCCCACTTTAATTACTAAAAAAACAGTCATAAATGTAAAGATTGTATCGCTCCAAAAACTTACTTGCAGGCTCAAATGTATTTAATTTCCAGCCCAAATTGTATGTATTTCCTTGGAAATAGTTTTTATAATTTTCTTCTTGTGGTCACTATGAATTTCATATCCTTTCTCTGACTTAAATTGTTAACGAATCATTTTGATAGCAGTGATAACCAAGAAAACAATGGCGCAAACTTGGACGACTAAAACAGAAAAGCTGCTATTTTATGGAGGTTTTCAAGCGCTTACCGCAAATTTACCTCGCACAACTTCCGATTTCATATTCCTCAGAGATTTTGCAAATTTTATGGCATTTTGAGGACGTTTTCTGACAATGTCATATAAATATGATTACAGAGCTTATTGAAAACGAGTCTGAATTCATTGCTTAAAACTGGTGAGTTTTTGGCGCTTTCTTCAGGACGTTTCGCAAGCACGATTGGCATGCATCTTCAAAGGCATGTTCGCACCCGAAAAACATCGTTGAAAGTTGCTCTGTTTTCGGCTACGAAAGTTTGGTTGTTTGTGAAAAATCGATCGTCTTGCAGATTCAAGTCAAACTTTGGACAGTTTCAGTATCATCATTCTTCTCCACGCCCTTATTTTTTTTTAAATTCCAAATGTCACCTTCGTTTGGCTTTGGATCAACTAATTTTTCTCTGTCTAGCCGTCTGTTAAGCTGCTCACTTTGTGGCGCCTATAGTTTGGACGAATTTAAATGAAACTTTCTGCAGCTTTCGGGTTATATTTGTATGTTGTTCTGTTGTGAACTACGCTTTTGAATGTTGCATAGGATAATTTGCGTCTTCAATCATTTTTTTTCTTTTGCAAATTTCACCGCAAATTAAACAGTACGGGTATTGTTAATAGGGATTGTTCGATTTTCCAAATTTCAAGTGCTTTTCACTCAGTTTTTAGCTTATAAACTGGTCAGGTTTTCCTCAGTGGACTGTTTTCACTTAACATTCAAAACCTCTAATGTAGAATAAGGGTGTTCTATAGTGAGCACACCTTGAATTTTCTTTGAACTTAAAATTAATGTTTTTATTAACAATCAACATTAGGGTTCGGTTATGAATTCATCTCGGATTATCTGCAAAGTATTTGTGTGCCTTCAGTAAATTAAACTTTTTGTTGCTTTCAAGTGTAAAAAACCCCATAATTCAGTTTAAAGAACCTAAAGGTAGGTGGAACTATTTTGACGATTTTTCATGGTCTATCGGTTGGCGCCCTAAGAGGCTGCTATTTAGATTTCGTATTGTTTTTCCAAATTAAAATCTGGAACATAATTATTTTTACAAAACGATTCGTGCTAGAGAATTTCGGTGGCCAGGATCCGTCCGACTATTTCAGTTTTGTTTGCCGTCCAGCACCCTTCAGGCTGCAAGTGCTCCAGATCAAGATTAAAACCAGACTTGCTGATATTGTTCTAGATTTAAGCCCAAAAATGGCATTGAGTTTTTCAAGAAAAATCAAGTTTTTAGGGAATTTTGGAGGTCTGGATTCGGACGGCTATTTATTTTATAGTAGCAGATGGTCATCTAAAAAATACTAGTGAAAATAAAAAATGTTACATAATTTTGATTTTGACAACGCATATATATTAATTAGGGAAACAAATTATAAAATAATTAACAAATAATAAAAAAACATGCAAAAGCAGTAAATTTCAGATCAGATACCGACAACCTTAGCAACATTGACCAAACCCTAATAAAGCCATAAGTATGAAACACCCGGTACTCTAGTGAAAAATTAAATCTATTTCTGCTTATCTCAATACCTGCATACCTCTCTCCCAAATGTAGAAAATAATTCAGACAAACTCAAGGTTTTCAAGAAGGCAAAGACCTAAAAGGACGTTGATTTTTACCAATCATGAGGTAAGTTTTTCCGGTGTTTTGCTCTCCCTAAAGGAAGAATTTTTTCCCTCAAAAACTGATGAATGTTTTAACACTTTGTAAATTATAATTTTTATACAACATGTTTTAATTGTGAATTGGTGTTTGTAGTTTATGTAAATTTTAAATCTGATGATGGCGCTGTTGTCTCGCCGAAACGTAATGAAATAAACGATGTTTCAAAAACTTTTACTTCACACTTTGACTGATACCCAGGAAAGTTAGAAATATCATAATTAACTATATCATTTACTTACTTTTTTTGGTAACATACAATATTTTTCAGGTAAAACAGGTAACTTTTTAAAATACTTCTAGTTACTAATAAGAACATTTTCTTTTTCATTTCATTTATTATTTATTTAAATAATTAGATCTTTGAAGCTACGTGGTGAATAAGTAGAAGCAAATTTTTGAAATGTCTTCTTAACTTCTAATTAAGGTATTTACTTGCAGCTTTACTATTCATATCGTTTTGTATTTATAACTCATCTCGCTATGTCTCACTTTACTAATTAAAGTTTTCTTATAGCTTTGAAATGCTGGCGTGTACTTTGGGTCATGTGAATCGCGTTCTTAAATCCGAACTTCCGAAAGCAAGAGCGGTAGTTTATTTTGCTTGCGAACTGCAGGATTTAAGTTTTCTATTCGGGGTAGGTTTTTACTAAGTGTTCAAGTGCCGTGTGGACTGTGGATGATTGATGGGCTACTACTTACCCAGTAAAGGATGGGGCGCCAGCTTGCAGAAAGCTGGTAAGAATAGTTTCTAAACCATGGATCCCTTACTATGAACTAGGGATGGTCGGTATTTAACGTAACCGCTAAAATAACATGGTTACAAACGTGTAACCTGAAACCGTAGTTACAGCTAGCAGATTTAATCGGTTGTTTTGGGAACCGTCTCATAAACCCGAAAAAGCCGTTCGCAACAGCACGGAACCGATGCGACACCGTCGAGCATCTATCTAGCTGCAGCCGTTTGCCAATTCAAACCGTTCTTTTTGGAACCGTCTCATAAAACCGAACAGTTGAGCGCATTTTGAACCAGCTGCAGCCGTTTGCCGATTAAAAGGTTGTTTCTGGAACCTTCACATGAAACCGTAACGGCGGTGCGCACCAGCACAGAACCGATGCGAGAACGTCGAGCGATCTATCCAGCTGCAGCCGTTTGCCGACTTAAACCGTTCTTTTTGGAACCGTCTTATAAAACCTAAACAGTTGCGCGCACTTCGCACTAGCTGCAGCCGTTTGCCGATTTAAACCTTTTTTTTTGGAACCGTCTCATAAACCTGAAAAAGTGGTTCGCGTCAGCACAGAACCGATGCCAATCTCCAATTCTCCTCTATCCAATTGCAGCAGTTTCTGTTCAGTTCTCCAGAATCCATAATCGTTCAGATATGGATCAAATATTAATTCAGCATTTTTAGTCTGTAAGTATTTAGTTTTCTGACGTTCTGTAATATATCTTAAAAAACGGGGATTTCTCTCATTAATAAACTTAGCTCGAGATGTATATGCCTATAATCAGCAAACTAAGCAGAATGTACACTTGCATATGAGCTATGACCAAATTTAGAGTCTAAGACAAAAATTCCATCACAGTTGAAATGTAAAATAATAAACGTTGTAAGCAGAATGTGCACCTGCATTTAAGCAAGCTTGCCATTTTGAGATATAAATTCAGTCACAAGATGAAATGAAAGTTAGTTATATAGGCGTTAAGTAAGGTCGACATATTTTTTTAAAGTATTTTTTGGTGGTACCAAAATTAACTCGGGTAATACTGCGAACTCAGTAAAAAGCATCTGCAAAAATTGTATTTTTAAACGTTAATTCATTTTTAAATGAAAATTAGATTTTTAAACATTTTTGCAAATAAAGCGCATATTTTATTTAATCAGTTTTTATTTATATTTTTTCTATCTAGTTTATTAACAGTTCTTTTGTTCTTTAAGCAGGTACTTCTGACCCATGTTTTGTTTTTGATTTTAGAATATTTTATTGTATCTAAGAGCTTTAGTTAAGAATTATTCTTTAAATAAACTAAATCATTATTTGTCATTACTATTCCTACCATCATCATTGCGCATGTTTAATGAAAAATTTTAAAAGCAACGAGTTCCTTTTGGAACCGCATTTTGAAACCTATTACTAACGTGCAACTGGAACGTTGTAGCCTTGTTACAGAAAAATAACCGTTTATCTCACCTCTAGTTTGAACTGAATACTTTTTCGAATGGCAACTGAGGTTTTATGAATTCTGTACATTGTTATTCTTTGCTTTTCTCATTTGCTATAACATTGCTTTAGACCGATTGACCGTTGTACTAAACACATTTTATTGTTTCTTTCCAGGTGGCACGATGCAGCTTTCGATAAGTTTCCCCAGGTTGCCATGCAGTTCTAGAGTTTTATAAAACTGTAAAGTTTTAGCTTTATGGTTCTACTTCACGCCCGTAAAAATGCAGACTTCGTCTTGAATATGGAAGAATTAAATTTTCGCGGTGTCACTTTTTGGTACCTAAAGGTTGAATGTTTGTAGAAAATCAATTGCTTTGGGGACTTGGGAGTGAAACTCTGTACAGTTTTAGCTTGATGTTTCTTATCTTCAAAGTAAAATTTTAGATGCCGCACTAGCATTTTGGAGTAACGCATTTTTTTATGAACCTGCTAAGTTCAGTTGCTTACTTTTTGATGAAAAAAGTTTGACTGGTTAAGAAAAATATTTTTTGAACTAATTTTAGTAAAACTTGGTAAAGTTTTACCTGCATGTATCCAATCCATGCCCCTAAAATTCCATATGTTGTCCGTTTTTCGGTTTTGAAGCATTGAAATTTTCTCTGTGTACCTGCTGATCTTAGTTGCTCGCTTTCTGCATACTAAAGTTGGAAGGGTCATTAAAAATCGGTACTTTGGAAGAATGAAATTTTCGCTGTGTATCTGCTAAGTTCAGCGACCCACTTTTTAGCACCTAAAGGTTGGATGTTTGTAAAAAATCAATTGTATTGGGGATTTAGATCAATCTCTGCAAAGTTTTAGCAAAATGTTTTTTCTCTTTGCCCTAAAAATTTAAAATGTCGCCCTTCTTTGGTTTTGGAGCAGTGAGAAAAAAAATTTGTATGTATAGGTTCACTAAGTTCAGGTGCTCACTTTTTGACCACTAAAGTTTGGATCTTTGCAAACAAACGATCATTGGGCAGATTTTCAATGCAATTTTAACATTTTCTGTGCAATTTTAGCTGCATATTTGTACTGCACACCCTGAAAATTTCAGAAGTCGCCTTCCTTTGGTTTAGGAGCAATAAATGGTTCTATTGGTTTGCTCCATTTTTCAATAAGGCTGTCCTTTGTCAAACTCAAAGTCAAAATTTTCAAAATTCCTTCCACATTGCATGGAATAGATTGGCTCTAAACTATGCTCTCAAAAGATGTTGTGACTGGTAACTGGAAAAAATCTTAGGAAAACTGATGATTCTTTTGAAAGTTGATGGATTTTAGTAGTGAAATACGCTGCAGTGGTCGTTTTAGTTGTTGCCGGCATTAGAATGATCAGAGGCTAGACTGATAACCATGGAAGAGACCAAGAAGAAGAGCAAATTGGGCTCACGTAAGCTTTCACTAGTTAAAAGGCTGATTGTTTACTGTACAACTGTATTTCAGTTGTGAAATTTGGCGTGTTCTGTGCGGCGATTTACTACGGTTGCAGATTGGTCAAAAAGTAGCGGGAAATGAGACCAAACTTGCAATAGTCATAAAAAATATATTTAAAAAATCAGCAATATTTAAAACAATATATTTGTGTTAACTAAATTTAACATCGTAGTTGTAGATGGGAATATTGGCAAAAAATCCAATTTCAAAATAGATAGGTATAAACTATATAAACAACAGAACAATTTTATACAACTTCAAACACAGACTTTAGAGGGAATTTACTCCACGATAACCAGCAGGTCTTCAGCTTCGATTTTCTGCCCCATTTGGATCTTCACTTCCTTCACCGTTCCAGCCACCGGACTTTGGACCACAGTTTCCATCTTCATTGCCGATAAAATCACCACAGGATGACCTTTTTCGATTGTGTCGCCAACCTGAGACAAGAGAATCCTTCTATTCTAGGAAGAATTACTGCAAAAGTCATCAGATTACCTTAGTCCTGATGTCAATAACAGTGCCTGGCATGGGAGCCCCCACATGAGCCTTGTTGGCCTTATCGGCCTTAGGATGAAACACTTGGTCCTTGGTGCATTCTTGATCCTTAATAAACACTGATCGAAGGGTACCGTTCAGATCAAAGAACACTTCCCTTTCTCCGTTTTCTGATAAGTCTTCCGCCATTGCCAGAGTTTTAATACCTAAAAATCCTCTTGGTTAGTGAGGGGATTTGGCTGCTGGATCTGTACTCAGTACCTAAGGTTTTCCCTCTTTCAATGGTGCATTCGAACTCTTCGCCCACTTTGGGACCGGTCAGGAATATCCTGGTGTCCAGCTTGCCTACTGGCCCATATTTATCGGCAAATGTCAAATACTCCCTGGTCACCTGCGGATAGAGAGCCGCACTCATGACATCTCGCTCATTAGCAGCTGGAAAGTCCTCCGAAAGTTCTTCTTGCAGTTTCTTGAAGTCCAATGGAGGCAAACTCGCTCCAGGTCTGCCCTCAATTCGAGGCATGTCTCTCAGAACCTACGACAAATCAATCAGTTATTAAACTATTGAGACTCTATGTATTTGATCTCACCTTTGACCTGAGAGGCTCAGGAAAACCTCCGTAGGGTTGCCCAATGGCTCCTTGCAGGTATTCAACCACAGACTTGGGGAAGGAAAGCTCCTCAGCCCTGTCCAGCACATCTTGAGGCTGCAGCTTGTTCTGGACCATGAATTGAGCCAGATCGCCTACCACTTTGGAAGAGGGAGTTACTTTGATGATGTCGCCCAGCAGCACATTAGCCTGGAAAGCAAGTTTTTACCAAACTGACTAGTTGAGGATGAGAAATCCTCACTTGAGCGTAGGCCTTTTTGACATCCTCAAAGAAATCTCCCAGTCCAAGAGAGTAGGCTTGGAACTGCAAGTTCGTGTACTGTCCCCCGGGGATTTCGTTGTTGTAAACATCCGCATTGCCGCTCTTCATCGTTGTGGTGCATTCGAATGGGGCGTACAAAGTGCGCGTTTGCTCCCAGTATGCTGAATATTCGGAGATCTGTTAGGAAAATTGATTAGCTGAGAAAGTCAAAGTCTAGTTCCATTCGTACCTGGGACAAGTCCAGATTGGTGTCCAAAGGAGTTCCCTGCAAGCTAGCTACAATCGCTCCCATACTGGGTTGCGAGGTCAATCCAGACATAGCGTCCACAGCTACATCAACAACATCAGCGCCAGCCTCAGCGCAGGCCAGCATTGAGGCTACTCCAGCCCCACTAGTGTCATGGGTATGGATGTGAATGGGAACATCCGGGTGTTTATCGCGCAGCGCTGATACAAGCATTCTGGAAATAATCCCTTAAAAGCTGGCAGGACTGAGTAAACTGCTACTCACTTGGCGGCTTTGGGCTTCAGCAGTCCAGCCATGTCTTTGATGCAGAGCACATGAGTACCGGCCTTCACCAGCTCATCTGCTAGGTTCACGTAGTACTTTAGATCGTATTTCTTCTTGTTGGGATTGCTGACATCTCCAGAGTAGGAGATTGCCGCCTCCACTATCCCTCCAGCCTTCCCAGCCGCTTCCATACCAAGAATCAGATTTGGAAGGTAGTTCAAGGAGTCGAAGACTCTGAACACGTCCATTCCGGTTTGGACCTGAAGGCACCCAGTGAGCATTTTATTTCGGTAAAGGAAATGTTACAAAGCCGACGTCGTTGTGAAGTCACGATTCTCTTATTTTGTGTACGTTTTCCTAACTGAAGCAAGTTTCCGCTTGAAATTTTCACCATGCTTAAAAAACACGTTGCCTTAATTATTATTGTAGATTGATAAAAACTCTCAAAAACCGTTAATTTTTTCAGCTTGATAAATATCGATTTAAAAATGGAAAATTTCCTTCAACTGCGCTTGCTTCTTTAAAAACTTACAGTTTTTCAACTGAAACAAGTGACTGCTTGAAGTTTGCCCCATGGGTAGAAAATAATGGACCCTAATTATTCTCGGAGTTTCGTAAAAATAGCCGAAAAAGTTTATTTTTGCCAGCTTGAAAATATCGATTGGATAATTTTCTTCGACCGTGCCCTCTTCTCTAAAAATCCACATTTTCCAAACGTAAGCAAGTCGGCACTTCAAATTTTCACGATGTTTAGAAAACAGTTCAGCGTGATGATGTTCAATGTTTCACGAAAATCGCCTACAATTCTGAACTTTGCCAGCTCAACAAATAACAGTTTCTAAATGGAAGATTTTCTTCAACGGTGCTCTCTCCTTAAAAAAATTCGCGTCTTCCCACTTGAAATAGCGAGCAACTTGAAACTTGCAGCACCTTTAGCCCATGCTTTTCGCTAATTCGGGGAGAAGTTTTATCAAAATCGCTAAAAGCGTTTATTTTTGTCAGCGTAGTAAATATCGGTTTCAAAAAGGACATTTTTCTTCAACTGCGCTCGCTTCTTTAAAAGTTCGCATCTTCCACCCTGTTACAAGGAGCAACTTCATATTTGCCACATCTATAGAAAAGCTCGGACGCTAAATATTCGGAAGGTTTCACAAAAATCGCTAGAAATTCTGATTTTTGCCAGCAGGACTTGCTCAGGAAGAACTCACCGCAAGCTCGCAGAACTTAAAAACCACATTGTCTGGATAGTTGGTGTAGCCCACAGCATTGGCGCCTCTCAACAGCATTTGGAATGGAATGTTTGGGATGTGCTTCCTCATCTCCTCCAGTCGCTCCCACGGGCACTCATGGAGGAACCTGCAAGCGATGACAATTGCCCAAAGCTTTCACTCATCTCGAGTAAATTGCTACCTTAAGGCCACGTCAAAAGTGGCGCCGCCCCAGTTCTCCATGGAATAGAGCTGGCTGAAGTTGTGAGTGACGAAAGGCGAAATTTTGAGCAAATCGTGAGTTCGTACTCGAGTCGCTAGAAGCGACTGATGAGCATCTCGGAATGTTGTGTCCATCAGCAGCAAGCCTTTGTGATTGCGCACCGCCTTAGCAAAGGCCTCGGGCCCTTGTTCTTTGTAGATTTGTCGGAAGCCTTTGGGCGGGTGGATTTCTATATTCAGGGTTTATTGTTAATTTTTTTTTCTGCCATTTATCCCGGAATAAGCAGGTTTAATTAGAGATGTGAGCGTAAAAAATTAATATAAGTGAGTGAGCAACCACACGGTTTTAGAGTCAAAACGGAATTTTCGTCGCGGATTTCCTTTAACCTTAAAGAAATTTTTGGATGCAGAATCCAAAAAGTTAACTGTTTGAAGCAATCACCAATCACAATTTGTAAAGTTTCCAATCACTCTTCACTAGCAAAATGATAAAATCCAGCCACACTTTTGATGATTTTTCAATGGCAGGTACTTACAAAATATCATGCAGATAGTAAAAAAAAGATGATACTAACCCGGCTTTTGCTCTGGCTTGTAGGACAGGTATTCTGTTAAAAAAAAAAACAAAACAAAAAGCATGCCAAATTAACCAAGAAAACCAAAACCAAGGTGGAAATTGTTTTTTGGGTGTGGGAATGTTGGAATCCAGAGTAGAAACTACAAGTATTTCTTAGAATCTTCTATATACAAGTGCAGTTGATTTTCTCAGTCAGTGCTCCCGTCGAATAATTGCAGGAAAAATTATTAGAATTACGAATATTTCATGGCAAAAGAAGACACCTCGAAGGAGTTTCATTACTTTTCTTTCAGAGACAACAAGTGCTATTTGGAAAACTTGCAGAAGCTGACCCGAAAAAGGCCTGAAACTGACCTGAAAAGGGCAGTTTCTACAAGTTTTTTCAAAAGATTTTGCCGCAACTGGAAGACAACTGATGAAACTTCTACATTATTTTTGAGCAGAAATATTTCGAAACTCTGTGAAAAATGATCAATTTCTGCAAGGTTTTCCAATGTTCTTTGGTTGCAACTGGATGAAAACTGCTGAAACTGCTACACGATGCATCGCGTCTTTTTATGCAGAAATATTTGGAAACTTTTTGTCTAACCTGAGCAGTCCGTTCAAGTTTTTCCAGTTGCGTCTCTTTCAACTAGAAATTTTTTCATGGCTTGAAATACTTGTAGATTCCATCCCGTATAACCTCAGAAATACAGTCGGGCTCTTAAGGTGCATTTCTAAAGGCTTCACCGAAAACAAAAGCTGAGAAATTGTCGAAAAAAATAGCGATAAAAGCTTGCAGATGGAGACTGAAACAGTTTTACTTATCGCCATTGATGATGATTAGAAATTCAAAAGGTTCTAAATTATTTGGGGTGTTTTTGGAGGAAAATCGTCACCCTCAAGTGCACGTGAAGAACAATCCGCACTTACCCAAGGAGACTTTGGGAACCTGCGGTTTGATCTCAGCAGGCTTCAGTTTGGTGGCTAAAGGTGTTTGAGGGCCATTCACTAAAACCGTGGCTAAATACACCAAAAGCTTCTGAGCTCGGTTCCTAGCCGGGACCATGTTGAACAGTTGCGGGTTCTCGTCGATGAAATACGTATCAACAGCTCCGTTGATAAACTTTTGGTTAGTGATCACGTTCAGTAGGAAGGGAATGTTGGTTTTCACGCCTCTGATCCGGAACTCTTTCAGAGCTCTGGAAAAGTGCAGTTCATCCACTGGCTTCAGAAGGATTCAATCTGTAGCTTACCGGTCCATTTTCGAACAAGCGCTTGGTAAGTCGTAAGAGTGGGCGATCACTTTGACTAGCAGGGAATCGTAGTAGGGCGAGATAATAGCGCCAGCAAATCCAGATGCTCCATCCAGACGAATTCCCATTCCCTCTCCTGATCTGTATACTTCAATCCTGCCGGTGTCTGGTTGGAAATTTTTGGCTGGATCTTCAGTAGTCACACGGCATTGAATGGCGAAGCCCTGGAAAAATTTCAACATTAGTAAAAATGGAAGAAGAAAAGGTAAGTTTGGTCTGCCACTTGAATTTGAGACACCCTGTATCAATTGGTATTATCTTAAAATAAACTAGACATTAATATCTACAACTTTTGTATTTAATATTTTTCTCTCAATTTCAAATTAGATGCAAAAAGGGGGCAGCCAAAGTTCAAACAATAACCGTGTACATGCATAAGTATGGGACGCATCTTGGATGCAAACATCCGATACTCTTCAGTTACTCAACTACTTTGGCTTTATTTCGAGCCACCTATTATTTTAGCAAAAAAATTAACTCTAATTAATACTCTACACAAATTTCCACATTTACTTACATTGGGAACTATTTTGTCCTGAGTTATTCCCAATTCAGGCAGCGTCATTCCTTCGGCGACTCGAATCTGACTTTGCACCAAATCGATGCCAGTGATCTCTTCCGTTACTGTGTGCTCCACCTGCAGACACCCCAAAAGGTAAGCCCTTGAATTTTCTGCTTTCCCTCAACTTGCCTGCAGTCGGGCATTGACTTCAATGAAGAAAAAGTTCCCTTTGGGATCGCAGAGAAACTCCACAGTGCCGGCATTTTCATATCCAACATGTTTGGCCAACTTCACAGCCATGCTAGTCATGGCGTCTCGAATCTTCGGGTCCAAATGAGGAGCCGGAGCCATTTCCACCACCTTCTGATGTCTTCTTTGCACTGAACAGTCCCGCTCGCACAGATGAACCACGTTGCCCGCCTTGTCGCCTAAAGCCCATTAATGAGCAAACTTACCCGCAGAATTACCCTAGAACTTACCAAGCAGTTGCACTTCAATGTGTCGAGGTCTTTCAATAAACCGCTCAATGAACAGAGCGCCGTTTCCAAACGCAGCCAGAGCTTCAGAGGAGGCTCGCTTGTAACTTTCCTCTACCTTATCCATGCTGGTTACCACTCTCATTCCTCTTCCGCCGCCTCCATAGGCTGCCTAAATTGTTTTTTTAAACTAACTGTTTTAAGGCAACCTTCAGAAGCTTACCTTGAATATCACAGGAAGCCCATGCTGGTTGCAGAAATTTAGGGCTTCTTCCAGAGTATGAACTGGGCCGTCTGTTCCTGGAACGATTGGAACTCCTGCAGCAATGGCTGCTTCCCTGGCTGCCACTTTGTCGCCCATCTGATGGACAACTTTCGGAGAAGGCCCTGAAAGAAGCCGCTGGCTTAGTGGAGATTAAAACTGGATGAGCTCTGGATGATTACCAATAAAACGAAGACCTGCATCTAAAACAGCCTGCGCAAAATCAGCGCGTTCCGAAAGAAATCCGTAGCCTGGATGGACGGCATCGATTCCGTGATCTTTGCAAATTTTCACTATTTGTGGGATGTTCAAGTAGGCTTCTACTGGGGTCAGGCCTTCGCCTACCTAAAGGACTTTGCTGCCTTAACTGTCCAGGAGTATGAAAGATGAAAGATTCATTACCAAGTAAGACTCATCAGCCTTCAGCCTATGGGCGTGTCCTCTGTCTTCTTTCGAGTAAATTGCCACTGACTTAATGCCCAGCTCATTGCAAGCTCGGAAAACTCGGACAGCAATCTCTCCTCTGTTGGCCACCAGGACGCTTCTGATCGGCTTGTATTCTCCTGAGTAATGTCGGCATTTGGACGCTAAGTTGAAGGTGGAACTGCTAGGGAGGCGCGAGCTTCGCGCTACAAGTCTGATCAACATCGTAGCTGAGTTTGGCTTATTTTGGTCGTTTCTAGTGTCCTCTTAAAACTAGTGAGGTTTGTTGGGTTCTTTTAGGTTCTTGTGATCAGTGGTGCCGAATCAGGTGGGCTGAAATAGAAGTTTTTTGTGAACAAATAAATACCACAATTCTACAGGGTGATTTACTGCGAACAAATCAAGCTACTGATTGATTTTGTTCACTCACCCAGTGTATCCCACATCGGGCCTACGCTTCAAGCTACGCAACCGGAATTTTAATATTGTTTATGGTTATTTATAGGCGAATATTCGAATAATTATAACTGCTGGCAATGTTGAAACCACAGGTTGTTCCTCCGATGTTTTTTGTTGCTGCTTGGCAGGTTTTTACGCAAGGTGATTACGATGTTTTGGTTATTTTCAGACCGGCCAAACGATACTCTTCGTATTGGCTTCGAAAGTTTGCATCTGTGCATGAATACAAAGTGGAGAATGGATTTTTGCCTGTAGCGAGATGAAATTGCGTATCAAAGTGCATTTAAGGCTGTTGTAAATGTTGAAAAACCAGCGCCAATGTGTCTTTAGAGCGAAGACGCCAATAGGAGGAATACGTTTATTGAGGAGTTGCAATGAGGGGCTATTTTAGTTGCAAAGACATTCAATAACAAGCGAGGGCTTTGCCCCTTAGAGGGGCCTGTGATCGTAAAAAATACGATTTAAAATTCTGAGTGAAGATTGTTTTTTACACTGTTTTTTACATTGTTTTTTACAATACATTGTTTTTTACACTAAAAATTTTACTCAAATTTTGCTCAAATGTGAGCTGTTTGCAGTCCCATGCATTATTTATACTGAAGAAAAGTTTTTGTTCTAACTTCTAGATTGAGAAAGGAAATTTTTATTAGATGTTACTCGATTTTGTGTCCATTGTATCTGTAGCCGCAACTCCTGAGAGCTTTTCAAAAATTAGTCTATGCTTGTATTTTGTTTAAATTTCAGCCAAAAGAAGTTCCGTTCATTTTTAATACTATACAAAAAATTTATCTTTCTATGCACGTGGCATTTGGAGTTACAATTTTTTTATTACAATTGCGCGATTTTGCGCTTATCGTATCAGCAGCATCAATTTTGAGTGCTTGTAAAAAATCCGTCTACAGCGTAATTTTTCTTAAATTTGGTGCACAATAAGCTTGATCCAGTGCTTACATTGTGCTAACGTTTCATATGTCTAGTCTTACCGATTTTGGAATTGTAATTTTTTTAGTGCTCTTGCGTGATTTTCAGCCGTCGATGCTTGACAGCATCAATGTTGGGGTTTTCATTCTAAGCTCCGATTTTCCTCAAATTTACATCGAGTTAAGCCCGATTTATGGTTTGTGTAGCGCTAAAGTTTCAACGCTTTATGCCAGTTGGATTTAGAGCTGCAATTTTTCTGTAGTACACTTGCGTGATTTTAAGCCGTAGTATCAACAGTGTCAATTTTGAGCGCTTCTGAAAAATCAGCCTTAGCTCCTATTTTCTTTTCAATTTTGAGCTCTGTAAAGTTTCATTCGTTATATATACTGAAAAAAAGTTTCAACCCGGTACTGATGTACAGATTGGATACTGATTTTTTTTTAATTATATTTGCGGCATTTTACGCCCGTTGTGTCAGCAGCGTCAGCTTTGAGAGCGTTCAAAAAATCAATCTCTGCTCGGACTTTGCTCAAGTTTAAGCTAGCGAAAGCTTGGTTCATTGATCATGCTACAGAAAAGGTTCAAATTTCTATCCACGTGGAATCACAATTTTTATTGGACTTGCGTATTTTTTGGCTGACTTAGCAGCGCCATCAGCTTTGGGTTTTACAAAAAATTGGCAAAAGCTTATGTTTAATGGATTCATTACATAGTTACAATCAGGGGGCATTTTAGTTTCCAAAACATTTAAAAACAACTATGGGTTTTGCCTATTTCTGCTTCTTTTGAGGCTTCCAAGGATCTAAAGATATCTGCCCAGTTGTAACGAGCATTTGACTAGTGATAGAAATCCAACTGTTTGGGGAATCTAGTGATTACTTCTAAAGAAGAAAGAAAAATGAATCCATGAAAAAAGCAAGTAGAAATGGATTCACAATAATCAGGAAGTAAACTTGCGCGATAAATTGGGCAACTATTGACTCTCAAATATTGAAATCGACCGTCTGGATCACCTGATTTATATCTTATGCTGTAATAGTATGTTAATGATGAATATTTCCAAGATTTAAAAAAAAATCCTTTAGTAGGTATCTCCAAAATTTCCCTACAAAAATCACCCCATGAACACCAAACAATGTAACTGATGCATGCATGACTGGGCTAAGTGCAGACAAACAAATCTGAATTATACATTAATTATCCATTAATGGATTATTATTATGGAATAATGGATTATTTACACAATGCCGGTTCAAAGTCAAAGTGCGAAATTCCGAGATAATAAAGTTGATTAAAACTGGCCGTTTGTTTTTCCAGAAAATTTAATCAAAAATCGTTAACAAACACGTGATATTTGAGCGTGGAATAGTGACTACTTTACTTTAGATCTAATGAGATATTTACCTAATTAGCCACAACTAAGCACTTGCAAAACGGAAGAGAAATCACTGATAAACAAACCTAAATGAAACTGGTTAAAGATAGAAGAGATAGAGATAATAATTACGGCAGCCCTGATAAAGATCCAGAGTGTAATTTGTAATTGTTATCAGTTTTATTTATTCAAGTGTCGAATGTACTTCAAGTGAACACTATTTCTACTTTCTGTTTAAGTTGATGAAACATTTGATGATTTTTATCTGCAAAATGCACCAGCCTGGATATAATTTTTGAAGTTTTTAGCAAACTAGAACAATTTTTTTAATTGAAATTAATAGAATGGGCTGATTTATACTCGTGCATTTGCACGTGTAGTTAAAAAACTTGCCAATAATTCGTCATAAGTAGGTGCTTGTTAAATTAATACACTTTCCATGCGTTGCCAATTTTCTATTTATGATTATTTTATGTAAGATTGTTGTCCTTTGGCGGTGCCTTGCAAAGTGCCTTTCTTCTCGTCATTGCCAATGTCACTTTAGTCTGACGAAACGCAAATATTTTTCGGGTATAATAACATTTTAACAATATTGACAACAAGCGATTATTTATAAATCAGGCTGTATCGTCGAGGACTTTGAATGTTCCTTATTAAAAATCGTCTATCTCGATCAAGTTGACCTCTAAGAGACCTTATTAATATGTGTATAACAGTATTTTTCTCAGATTTTCGTAGTTTGAACCTAATGCAATCTTACATAACGGTTTGGTTTGTGTGCGTGCAACTCGAAAGACCAGATTTTTCCATAATTGCCATTAATTTGATCATTAACCTCGTACTGTATTGACCAACATTGATTGAATTCAGGTAGTCACAAACAATTTTTTAGTGAAAAACAATTATTTTGGTTAATGCAGATGTAAAAACTACCCCAAAAATAACATACCCTAACAGTCTTTCCACTGCACTTGTTGCAACTAACACTTGAAACCTCTTGGAGTTATGCGAGGCGCATTCGAATGTAACTTACTGATTGTGGTTTTGGTAAATTGCATTTTAATGCTCCTATCCGAAAATGCCAAAGTTCAATGTTTCGAACGACGATTTGGTAATAAATTGATTATCAACAATCAATGTAATAATTGAGGAAGAGACGGAATTTGGTTTCAGCTTTGCGCCACCCTGTAGAATAAATTAGCTAAGTTAATATTGGGTATGGTCAACAAGTTTCGCTTCTTTTCGTTGAATATTCGCAATTTTCCGCATGTGGCACAGTAAACTTGATGGAAATTAGGATCCGTGTTGAGAAACTGAACGCAACCTTTAAAGTTTTGATATTGTGAGAATATTCTAGCAAAAAATCGGTTCTAAAACAGAAAATTTCGGGAACTCTTTCGGATCTTCAGCCCAGAGATGAAAACATTAAGCATATTCGGTTTTGGAAAAATAACATTTAAAAAATACCAAAGTTTAGCGAATTTTTGGAATGCTTCCCGGGTGGATTTTTTTTCAGACGTTGTTCAGCATCTTCAACTTTGAGTGCTGCTGAAAAATCAACCACATATCAGCTATTTCTCAAATTTAGTACTTCGGAAGCTTCATTTATTGTTTACACTGAAATAAAGTTTCATCTCTCCACTCCTATTGTATTTGAAGCCGTATTATTTTCTTAGTGGACATGCGTGATTTGTAACTGTCGTATTAGCAGCAGCAATTTTGGCTTATCCTCAAAACTCAGCCCTGACTAGAATTTTGCAGGAATTTGGGCTAAGTGAAAGCTGATTCATTATTTCTACTACTGAAAAGTTTCAGGGCGCTGCTCGTTTTCAGTTTGGAGATGGAACTTTTTGCGCACACTTGCGCGCTTTTACATTTGTCGCAGCAATGGTGCTTCTGGAAAAGCAGCCTGCAATCAAATTTTACTCAAAATTGAGCCCAATGAAGCCTCAATCTTAAAATGCAATGAGAAAAAGTTTCAACGCGCTCCTCAGCTCGGGTTTGGACATGGACTTATTTTCAGTAGAATTGTGCGATTTAGAAGCCTTAAATTTGAGTGCCTCTGAAAAATCAGCCTGATCTCGCATTTTTCTCAAATTTCACGGGAGAGAAGCTGCATTTATTGTTTATACTGGGAGAAAGTTTCAACTCTAATCCTGTCGGACAAGAAATTGAAATTTTCAAATTAAACTTCCGTGATTTGCCGCTGTTATATAAGCATATTCAATTTTGGGAGTTTCTCAAAATTTACCGTAACTGAAATACTGCTCAAATTTCAGAATCTGGAAGCTCGTTCATTAATTATAGTGACAAAAAGTTGAAACGCGTTACTCGTTTTCAGTTTAAAGGTAGAGTTTGATGTTGTAGGCGTGCGCTCTTTTTTAGATTTGTCGTATCAGCGGTCCCAATTTTCAGTGCTTCTCAAAACTAAGTCCAGGTTTGAATTTTATTTAAATTGAATCTGAAGATAAGTGCACTTATGGTTTACACTCGGGGAAAGTTTCAGCGCGATAGTCGTGTCGAATCGGAAATTATAATTTTTTTAGTGCTTGCATTATTTTTCTCTGTTGTATCAGCGGCGTCAATTTTGAGAGCTTCTGAAAAATCAGTTCGAACTCAAAATTATATTAAATTTTGTCCAAGTGAAGCCTGGTTCATTTATTAGACTAGGAAAAAGTATCAACGCGCTGCGACTTTCAGGTTTTGAGTTGCATTTTTTTTGGTAAAATTGCGTGGTTTTTTTGCAATCGTGGCATCAGCAGCTTCAATTTTGAGTGCTTCTAAAAAATCACTCTGAACTCGAGTTTAACTCAAATTTGATACAGAGAAAGCTTCATTCGTTGCTTATACGGATAAAAAGTTTCAACCCACTACTCATTTCCAGTTTTAAAATGCTAATTTTTTTAGTGGTTCTGTGTGCTTTTTAATCGTCCGATCAGCAGCTTCGACTTTGAGTGCTCCTGAACATTCAGTCTAAGCTCAAACTAAATTAACATTTTCTTCATTCCGCTACTCAACATATTTCCTTAGTCGTGTAAATTTTCTGAAGAAGCAAGAATTCAGAATAAATTGTGCCGAGCCCTTCGGGCACGCCACTGGTAGGACTAACGAAACAGGCTCTATTTGATATGCAGTTTATTATTCGCTTCCAGTGTCGTACATTAACATTGAACATTTACAAAAGATAATTTTGTTTTCGAATCTCTCAAATTGGCGCTGTGTAAAATTGGCTGACAATCCCGAAGCGTTTTTCGAAAAAATCGACCTCGTGCTGTGCGTTACCTGGCAGCAGACGCTCAAAATTGCGATTTATTTTACGAAATTTTAATTTTTTTACGTGAAACAAGCGGATAGTTTCAGGAGACTTAAAAGGGTCGTTTTATCACCATTTTTGACAGGCTTTAAGCATTCAAGAAATCGAAGAAAAGAATGATTTAAATTTCACATTATTACGAAAAGTTGAATTGTTCAAGAATCTTTGCATCTACTAAGATTCTTTTGCGCCAAAGGATCACAATTTTCCGCAAGCTTTTCGAAAATTCTCTCAAATGTATTGTTGAAATCACAAAAATTTTTTAAAGTAAAGTAACTTTAAGCGATTTTATTTTTAATTTTTGGAGCTTCAAGGCCGGAAAATTCCGAAAATTAAAAACGTTTTCAACTGTGAATTTTTGAAATCCAAACCCCAAAATCTTCTTGTGCATAAAATGAACACAATTTTTCAAAGGTTTTAAACACTCAAAAAATGGATGAGAGAAAGTTTTTGCTTATCAAATTCATTTTGAAATCCGCAAAAATACCCAATAAAACGAAAAGTTTACCGATTTTCTACAAGAAGCTTCAGTGATTATTAATGCAAAACACTGATCCACACACTCATAAGCTCATAAACTCTTTATTCTGTCATTAAACTGCCATTAAAGGTAATTATCCAAATGGAGTCTTATGACTCATTAACATTATGCCAAGCAGGTTCTTTTGCTTACGGAATTTAAAACATATTCCTTAAATTAATTTTTCATAATTTTCCATAAATCCTTGCCATGCAGAATTAGCTTTTTGTTTAAAAAACGATCGAAAAGTTGCGTGGGAATCACGTGTAGATGTTACGCTACTGAATGAAGCGATTTATTGACCAGAAATATTAAGCAAATTCAAAGTCAATTTCCAGCTTTGGTTAGTAAACTTTCCACGACATAAATAAATGAAAAACTGTGCAAATTGAGGCAACAACGAACAAGGTTGAGCGGAAATTGGCCAAAAAGCTCCTTAAATCCAATTTGAAATTCTTGTGCAACGTGAAAAAATCCCCAGAGTGAATAAAATAAAAAATAATTCTAAAAAGATAAATACAAAAAGTGAAAACAATTAAGTTTCTTAAGAAAACTGCCAACTACTTTAACCTGCAGATGTTTAATAAAAGCCACCGTTACAGACTGTTTCAAAAATCAGTTTCAATCTTTAGGGGGTGTGTTATTGCACACATTGAGCTGCTGATATGGCGCATTGAATAAAATGCGATTTTCTCGAAAACGGTTGGTTGTAACAAGAAAATTTAAGGCACTACATTTTGAACTCATTGCCTGGTCGATTAGATGGCGTAGCTAAAATTTTCAATTTTTTCATTGAGAAAGCGGGAAAAGACAAACATTTTTTTTCATTCAGCTAATTTAGGTCCCACTCAGAAGCTCAATAGCGCTTTGACGCACTATTCATCAATAAAGTACCCAATTTCCGAAAAATCTCGTGCGTTAATCACTCAAACTTGTTCGTCATTAATAATTCCACAGACACTGAATTGCTTTTTGTTCAAGTTCATATGTAATCCAATTCAAACAGCCAAACAATTGCGTTCTAATCAAGCAATCATCTCAAAATCCACTCTAGTTGAGATACTAGCAAATCCGTTATATTTAGGCCAATAAAAGCAGTGTCTTGACCTGCAGTGGCCTTCTCTATTAAGAATGTAAAAAACTCACGCAAATACTATCACCGGTTGAACTGTCCGTCACGTTTTTTCCTTTACAACCAACACACCACTGTTCGAATTCCCACCAAACTGAAAGCGAAAATCGAAATTTATTTTTAAATGAAAATTTTAGTAGTCGGTGGCATGCGCGTCTTGTTCGATGTGATTCAAGAGTGCACTGGGAATACCATTTTCTACGAAAATTTTCAGTTTTTTTGCGTAGTTTCTCGTCAAATAGATAATGTTGGTGGCAGGTTCATTGATCAAACGAGTGGGAAAGCGATTGTTCCAGTTTCCGGGTTGGTATTGATTTCCCCAGCCTGGAAAGCTACGTAAATGCGCACGCTAAGTTCAATAATGCCTCGGTTCAGAAGAAATCGTTGAGTGTGTGTTGTGTTCATTTTATTAAGTACATCGGCTGTAAATGGAATTTGTTGGAGGTTTTTGTAAAAATGCATTTAGATAATCCGACAAATCGCCAAATATGCACTGTATGGCACTGAATAAATAGTATATACTTTCCTGGCTGTRTTTCAATTCCAAATCAAAATTMATTCCTGGGTTTCAGTCGTTTATTGTCTCTATTTATCAATTAAAATACGTTTCGGTGTATTTTTCCACCATCATCAGTTTTTATGTGTAGCGTTGTTGCTGTCTTGGCATACATTTGAAGAAATGTATGCCAAGGCTTAAAGMAGCAACAACGCTACAMAWAAAAACTGATGATGGAAAAATACACCGAAACGTATTTTAATTGATAAATAGAGACAATAAATGACTGAAACCCAGGAATTAATTTTGATTTGGAACTGAATAAATACTCAGGAAAAGTGCCAGATACTTTTTTGTTCTTGTTCATTTTTCGGTGGTATATTTGTTACATTTAGGAGCACCTGGTACCTGGACAGTGCATTTTACAGACAAAAACCTTATTTTTCGTCACTTTCAAAAAATTGTATTCGTCAGAAAATTTTCGTCGGTTGTTTCTCGCTCCAGATATATTCGGTTGTAGTTGTCTTTATCTCTGTCTGTTATCTTTAGCAGTTTCCTATCACATGAAAATGCATTTGAAAGACCAGAGCGTTGCCTTTTTGGAAAATTTAAAAATCTGAGGGATTTAGCTCGATTTGCCCTGAACAGCGCCTTGAGATCCACATTCAGAATCGTCTTGAATATACAGGGTGTCCCGTAGGTGCATGATCAAAAGGATACTGCGATATTCTTGGCACCAAAAGAAGACGATCTGAGCTAACTTTTGATGATGATCGATGGCCAAAGTTCTTCAAAAAAATACATCTTTTTCGAAATATCGGGAGAATGGTCGATGTAGGTTGGTAAAACTCGCTGTGATTTTTTTCTTATGTAAGACTCATATTTTGATTAAACAATCGAGTTCATCCGTTTTGGATAACTGGAGAATTCTTGAGGGTCGTGGCATCAACGAAAAAAGTTGACTCCATCCACCAAATAAAAAGTTCTGGGAGTTTTTGTATCACGACACTCAAGAATTCACCACATCCAAAACGGCTGAACTCGATGGTTTCATCAAACCATAAATCTTACATAAGAACACACTCACAGCGAGTTTTACCAAAATACATCGTACCATTCTCCCGATATTTCAAAAAAGATAAATTTTTTGAAGAACTCTAACCATCAATAGCAGAGGAGCCAGACATTTTTTGTTAATAAAAGTTAGGTCAGATCGTCTTCTTCTGATTCAAAGAATACCGCAGCACCCTTTTGATCTTGTACTTACGGGACACCCTGTCTGGCTGTAGCTTAGTTACCTTTAATAATATTTAATAATTTAAAAGTGCAGTTAAAAGTAAAAAAAACGTTCTCATCCATTATGTTTTTCAAAAATTTTCAATGGTGAAAAATTTTTAATTGTCATGAATTTAGCTCGTTTGGTTCTCAATAGTTCCAAATTTGTAATCGTCCTGAATATATCCGGCTGTAGCTCCGGAACTTTTAAGAATATTTAGCAACTTAAAAATGCAGTTTACAGATAAAAACCTTCTCTTCCTCTGCTTTATTCTTAAATTTATAATCGTTAAAAATTTAACTCGCTGTACTCTGTAGGGTGTTCAAATTCAAAAACGTCCGGGATTTATTCGGTTGTAGGTTATTTTTAGGGTTTCCTCTTAACCTGAAAGTGCACTTGAACGATAGGAGCTTTGCCTTTCTTCATTTTCTTTGAACATTTAAAATTCCTAAAAATTTGGCTCGTTTTGTTCCTAAAATCTCTTTAAGTTCCAAATTTGGAATGGCGCTGATTATTTCGTGCTGTAGTTCCGTTATTTTTCCGAAAATCTAGTAAATTCAGAGTGCATTTTATAGATAAATGCTTTCTTTTTCTTCACTTGTCTTCTAAAATTCGAAATCGTTCAACTTTTAGCTCATTTTGCTCTGAAAAGAGTTTCGAATTCTAAAACGTTCAACTTAAAACCGTAGCGGTAGCCGTGGCTCTGTTAGCTATAAGAATTTATAGCAACTAAAATATCCATTTGAAAGATACAAACATTGGCTTTTAACGACTTTTGAAACAATTGTATTTGCTATCAAAATTTTGCTCGTTTTGCTCTAAAAGCACGCCTATAAAGTTTCCATTACGTTCACGAAACGAACAATTTTATAAAATGTTTATGGGAACCACCATTGCGGAAATAAAAATCCACAACTCCCATTGGACAGCAGACTGTCCCGATCTGACACCCATCGAAGTCGATTCGGACTGATTTATTCATTTCTGCAAAAACTCCTCCTATGCTGTTATGCAAACGTAAAAAGGGTCAAAACGAAGGCGTTTTAACATTGAAATGTACTTTTATTGGATATTTGCCTATAAGCATGTAAAATACGCCCCCAGRACAAAAGTACGCCAATCGCCAATTTCCTGCGTGGTTTACCATTGACGCCAATCTRATCAAACTTTTTGTTCRAAAAGTATGAAAAATACACTTAAATTGSCAGTAAAATAGTTTCTTTATTAATTTGGTTTTAGAATCSATTTTGAAGTAATTTTTAWTTTAATGTAGTMSAGTTGAGTGTAGRGCTGTTAGCTTGACGAATTTCTGGCATTTTAAAACAAGACTTTYATTTACTGCTGTTATTCGAAAATTCGAAGATTCCSAAGGAAATTCTTAACAAAAAACTGCATTTGCAGMTTTAAAATGATCGCTTYCTTCAGTTTTTTTGAACGTTTAAACCAGTGCGGGTTTTGATCYAAAGTGTTAACCGYGGCTTAACCGAGCGCACTTTTTCGRTKATTTAAAATTTTCAACAAACTCAATAAATGAAACGAAACAAAGCACGAAMGAAAGAAAGGAAACTTTATCAGTTTTTCTTTGACCACTCCGGCTAGTAACAAAAAAATTCAGGAACTTCTGCTGTGAAGRGTAGGTATGCGGAAGTTTCAAAAYCTGAAACATCCTGAATATCTCTCCCAAGCTCCTTTATCTTGATAAACTTTTGTTAACGAAAAATTGCATTTGAAACACCAAAACCTTCTCCTTCTTAGGCTTTAGTTCTTAAGAAACAGCCTTTGAAGCTTTATTTARTAAAGRCATTCAATATGGGTTGTGTSTTTCAATTCRTACGCCAATCTCGAGCTTCCGATTAATGAAAAATTGACAAAAATCTTCAGAGAGTCAACATTTGCCACAAAAATACCTTTCTCTATATGAAAAGAAGGTAAATTACAGACTGCAAGTTCCTAGTTTGGTCGATAAAATCCTGAAAAGACACCGTAAGCAAAAGAGCCAAACATCCAGGAAGGGTGGATTAAATGGGCACAAAAAAGACTACTGCGAATTTGAGCATTTTTTTGCGAAAAAACGGAGCAAAACACTGAACACCCCAAGCTGTTTGCGATTTAATGCCACTCAAAATTAACGTCAGCGTTGATTGAAAAAAATGCACGATTCATGTCTCATGGTTGCTTCAACAATCTTCCCCCAGCCTTCCTGCTGATTCTCTTGGCAACATTCCACGCGATTTACGTGTACAATTTTTGCTTGCAATCTGTTAAGCCCCTAAATAACCGCGCTGGATTCCTTATCGGAATAAACCTGCTCGCCCTAATGTTCCTTTGGTCGTTTTTGGCCACCATGTGGTCTTCAGTGGGCACTGTGCCAGCAGAATATAAATTCAGCAGGAACGAGCACCAATCGGTAATCAAAGCCAGAACCGACGATGAAAAGGATCACATTTTGGAGACTTTATGCGAGAAAAAGAGCTTGCTGTTGCAAACCTGCACCCCAACTGGCAGCATTAGGTGTGAAACCCTTTTGCTTAAGCATCCTGGTATGTCTTCAAACGGTTCTTCTTTGCTTTAGATACTGCACGAGTTGCATGCACATAAAACCAGACCGAACTCATCACTGCAGCAGCTGCGAAAGGTGTTTCTTGAAAATGGACCATCACTGTCCATGGGTGAACAACTGCATCGGCTTTCGCAACTACAAAAGCTTCATTTTGCTGATTTTTTATACATTTCTATACTGCGCTTTTTACGTCAGTACCATCATCCCGCACATTATATCCCCTTGGGGTCACTCCAAGTTTGCCGAAGATCTCCCAATAAGCATCGGGTATTAGCGAGTCAAATAGAAAATTCTGAGAAAATTAAGGATTTTTGTAAATTAGATTTGGATTTGCTGCCATCATGGGTTTGACCACCTTCGGGTTCATGTGCTACCATCTCTATCTGACTAGTACCAACGAAACCACTTTGGAAAAGGTTCATCCGCCGCATTTTGTTGAAGAAGATTTGAGCTACGATTTGGGCACGATGCAGAATATGGTGGAGGTCTTCGGAAATCGATGGTTTCTGTGGTTAGTTCCCCTTTTTAGCTCAATGGGGAGTGGGCACATGTTTTTAGTGGAAAGAAAATAAAAAATTCTGATTTTTTATTGCGCTTCTTGTATACTATCTGTTAAATAAAAGCCTCCAATAGTAACAACATATTTAACGGTTGGACAGTTTTGAGTACAAAGCATGGTTGCCGAATCTTCAATTCCTATCCAACCCTTAACTGTTACTGTCTTCCCCTTGTCTTATTCAAAAATAAACTCAACTGATTTAACATGTTAGAAGGCAAAGTCGTGTACATTTACAGTAAGGAATTGGTCCAGCACTGCGATCGGCTTCCAAACATGGAAAACCGCGTAAGTTCCATTAGGGAATTCAAAACAATGTTGAATAACGCGAATTTCCAGGCCTCAGTAGTGCACGATTTAATTCAAAGCTACCAAATCCTCTGCCATCCTAAACTTGTGGTAGTTCTGAGCCAAAACGCTTCGGAAGATGAGCTGAAGCTGTTCCATTCCGCTGCTTACATCGACGTGCTGAAGTCTCTCGAGTCTTTTGACTCGAACTTGGACGAACTCCTAGGTAGCAAGACACATACTCGTGTGAAACTACAGCCTTTGATGAAACAATAACTTCTCAGAACAGCATGTGGAGTATGGTCTAGGCTACGATTGTCCAGTTTTGGACAATCTGCTCCAATTGGCTGAATGCGTAGCTGGAGGAACGCTTTCAGCTGCTAAACTGCTGGTTTCAAGGAAATGTAAAACTACGATCAACTGGTTTGGAGGTTGGCATCATGCCCGCAGGTGTAGAGGCAAAAACCATAAAAAAAACTGCCGCTAAATTCCTTCTAAACTCCTTCCAGGGACTCAGCTTCGGGATTTTGCTACATCAACGACATAGCGATTGGCATTCAGTACATGTCCACAACCTTTGAAAGGATTCTTTATATTGACCTGGATGTTCATCATGGTATGGACATTTTTAAAGAGGACATTCAGTCATTGCTCTTGCTATGAACTCTTTGGCTTTAGTTCTTCAATATTGCTTGCGCTTTCAGGGGATGGAGTCCAGTACGCATTTGAGAACAGCAATAAAATCCTCACACTTTCATTCCATAAGCACGAGGTGGGATTCTTTCCCAACTCGGGCAATCTGGATGAAGTAGGCATCGGAAAGGGCAAAAACTACTCCTTGAACGTCCCGTACCAGGGCGGGATTAGCGATGAAACGTTCACAAAGCTGTGCAGCCAAGTGCTTCCAAAGTATGCAAAATCCTCTCTTTTTCCTTTGGCACTGTGCAACTTAACTCCTTTGACCTAGAGTTTTTGAAACATTTAAACCACTGGCAGTGGTGATGCAATGCGGGTCTGATGGTTTAAATGGCGACGAAATCGGCCAATGCAATCTGACCCTCAAGGGATTCGATTGTTGCGTGAAAACCGTGCTAGAATGGGACTTGCCTACGCTATTTCTCGGTGGAGGTGAGCCAAATATTTGTCCATTCGCTTTGCCTACATTCAACAGTTTTAGGAGGTTACAACCTTCCAAACACCGCCCGCTTGTGGACGTATCTCACATCCCTCATTGTCCATCAAGAGCTGGACACTGATATTCCTGATTCTTGTGAAGTAAGAATTTATCCAACTATTTAGCAAGGGTTCATGATTGGTTTTAGTACTTCGCGGAATATGCCCCCAGCTACGAGCTGCATATAGAAAAAGGCCGGAAATCCGACTGCAACACCCCAACATACATCAACATGGTTTTAGACCGCATTCAGTCCCATTGCGACCTGATTTCGCAGGTAAAAGGGCTTCAAACAGGATGCGGAAATCAAAGGCCGTTGGATGACAAAATCGTTTAATTTGCGCATTTAGCAGAACCATATAAATAATACCAAAGATATATTTCAGGCAACTAAACTACGAAAATAGTATACATCCTTTGAATAGCATGGGCATAAGCTTCGATCCTGCTACCATTTAAGTATTTAAGATTAATCAGTACATGAAACATCGGCTATTTTTACCAGTAGTTGCTCAAACCACTCTTCTTGTCTATGCCAAAGGAATTTTGCGCTTTTTGTGTTTCTTTTGGGCTAAAAATCATCTAATCTAATCAATCAGCAATCGAACACTCTAAAATCAACAAACGTACTGAGACCCTGATGAAAATAAACAAGGCAAAGTACCGCATAAAACATCGTGCAGATCAAAGAAAGTGTTTGATTTTTTAACTAAATATGCCTCAAAACTACAAAAATGTTGAAACTTACTGGCTTTAATCGCACGTGCATGCTGCCTTAACCGGCAAAATATCCAGATTCGACCCCCATAGAGCAAATTCCAATTTTTTTCGACTTTTAGCCCGGAAAAAATGTAGAAAGAGCGCAAAATTCCCCATACACTTTTGTGTTGATGTGCTTGTAAATTATTTTGTTTCAGCGGTAGATTTAAAATACTGCTGCTATATTTATGTATTTTTTAATAAACTGCTCTTAAATGTTGGAATCTTCAACGAAGCAGCGCTTTTCATTGCAAGTTCCGTATTTTATTGCACGTAAGTTTCAAAAAAATGTATATTGTTTGCCGTAAATGTAGACCAATATAATCGATACGAAACCACCAAGCAATGGAACGAAACGACAATTAATCACTACTTTCCACCATACTTATTTTCCAATCCTGAGACCGCTCTGAAAAAGATCAAGTACATACGTTTAGAGGCTGCCCTGTATTAAGCGCTTCTGCTGACTTGGACAAAAAAACTAAGGAAATTACTCTGATTAAAACAAATTCCCGTTTTGTCCAGATCAGCAGAGTACTGGATATATGTGTGTAATTCGGCACATTTGAGCGCAATTTACGCTGTGTTTTAAGAGCTAATTGCAACATAAACAAAACAATGTGAAGGATGGTGCACAGTCCATACTTATCAACTCCATAAGTTTGGAACTTTGAAATGAAAACAGCATGCAAACCATGTTCAAAGGAAAATACATTTGATCAATAAAACGTATTTATTATATAAACAAATCTGACAAACTGCAGCTATACACATATGGTCTTAATGTACATAAAATTAAGCTACATTTTGGGAGAAATGATATTTAAAAAAAATTGCACTAAAAACTGGTCTAGCAAGCAAAATGGGAACGACGGGGACATTAAGTTTCATTTTTTATATCAAGCGTGCGATTTCGAAAGCAATTTTGCGCTGGGTAAAAAAATAAATAATACTTAAGGAACTTGGCTTAAGATTAGAAATATACAAAAAAAAAACGCAGATGCTCAATACGATGCTCTGCAATTTGGTGTTGAAAGCGTTGGCATTCGAGTTTCACTCAAAAAAAACGCAATTAGATTCATCAGATATTAAGGATTTTATATAAAGTAAAACTCTGGACGCATTAAAAGACCACGAACTTTACGAGAAAGTAGCGAAGATGGAATGTTTTCAGCTGGGAAAATTCGCGTTCACATCCAGGCGCAAATGAGAGCTTGAGGGAATATTGCCAGATTGCAATAAACAAAAGCCTAATAACTGTGTTGTTCATATATTATCACAAAAAATCACCGCCAATATAAGTTTATGCTGTTTAAGAGATATCTGTTTAGTAAGCTATGTAATAATTGACGAAACATGCATAAACCTCTTCTACCTTGCTAACAATTATTAAACTTAACAGCTAAGAAATGTTAGACTCAGTGGCGCAAAATGCTCGTTTCCATCTAGCGAAAACCAACACTTCTTAAAAGTTATTACTTATAATACTTAGAGTATGCCATCGGCCGCGAAACCTTCAGGACTCTAAAGCATATTGCGGATTCTTCCAGAAATAGTTTTCCGTCTTGTAAAGCTACTGCCAGAAAAATGCTTGTTCGTTATTTGCTTTTAAATAATATTTGATCTTTGAATGGGGAAATCGCTCTAAAGGGGGCACCTATGAGTTTGGCTTGCTCAATGGCGAATTTATTCCCAGGGCATTAAATAATTTCGTTTTCAGGCCGCTCTTCTCTGTGTCTGGAGTTCGGGCTGGATTCGTCTGTCAAAAATAAATAGGGCTAATCAACATTTGATGATGCCCACTTTCACTATGTACCCCATCATCAAGTGAAAAGGAACATGCCAAACATCAGAACATATTGTTGAGGCTTTTTTGAACAAACGTGTAAAAATCCAGGCATATTCCTCTAATCACTTCGATTTGCCCTAAACCTAGGCTATCAATATCCAATTAGAACGGATAACTTTTAACATGTTAGCTCATAACCGATGATACAATTTGTCAGAACATTAGTCAGAAGTTAGATATAAATCAGTAGTAATAGGAGAAAGTAAAATGGAAGGTTACATGGAGTTGATAAAATGTCTAAGTTACGTGAACGTTTATGTGAGGCGTGCTATACAAACGCTACTAAATGAACGTAAAAAGCAGATAAGCAAAAGCCTGGTTAATCTAGTGCGGAAAAAGCGACAGATATTGGAAAATTAATGAATAATTGGCTAATTAAAGCGGGTTTTGCCTACCTCGTCACCATCGTAAGACATTTCCAGCGATTCTCTGGAGCCTCTACGCGACGTCTTGGCGCTTTTGCGTCGCTCATCGCCTGCTAGCAAATTTCCCACCTTCGAGTGCTTTACGATGTCGAGCGCCTGCTGTAAGACATAGAAGGCCAAATGTAACTAAAGCGACTGGAAATTACCCGGAAAACTCTGCTCGATTGTAGTGGCATGACAAAAACAACCAAAAAAACCTGCATAAGTGAATTTCGATTCTAAAAAAAAACGTTTTGCATTCGACCGATACTCAATCCATTAACGCTCGCACTTTCTTTTCATTAGACCATTTTGATTTGCTTTGTGAAGCTGATTTCATCGGAATTGATAATCGGCCAACTACGAAATCAAACAAAAAAATGCAAACCACTTACTTGTTGCACATGCTGCAGCATTAAATGAGGAAAATATCGATTAATAAATTAAGCAAAGGCTGCTGATTAATCTAGTTCTACCTTACTTAAGCAGTGGCGGGCCTTTAAACTAAATTTCCCGGTGGCGCCTGAATTAAACTAGCAAAACATGAATGTGTGTTTTTGACTATTTCTGTAACAGCTGCAAGCATTGAAGCTGCATCTACTTGCGTACCTCTTTTCTTGTTCTCAAGGCGCAATCTTCCAACGTTTCGGCAGCTTCGTATTTGCCTTGACGCCGATACAACGCGCCCAGATTCTTCAAAGTGGTTGTAACAGTTGGCGAGTCCACTTTGGCCGCCTTGTGCCATCCGCCGTATTCTCCATAGGGCGCATTTTCGCGATTCCGGGCCTTGTTCTCTTCGCGTTCTTCGGCCACTTGCCAAATCGGCTTGTTGTCCCCTGCAAACCGTAAAAACCCCCATTTGAAACTTCTTCTGGTTGATTTACCACTAATATTGAACGCAATTTTATCGAAATTGCGTTCACGGCTGTGAGCCAAGTAAAATTTTGTCAATAGTTATACAGTGTGTTTAAGCATCGATAAATCAAAGGACCGAAGGGCTGAACGTAAAATAAAACACAGAACATGCGAGAAATCATATAGGTATATTGCACAACTCACAAAAATACTAATCAAACACTCTGTGTAACTAAGAACAACTAAAATTCGCAAATAATTTAAAAAAAACTTACACCATGGAATGTAGACTAAAAATACACAACTGAGGTAATTAATGTTATTGAAATATTTATCTCATGTGGAGGACGACGTTGTGTATTTTTGATACTGCAAAATAGGAACTAAGTACTAAAAAAGCGCATGCAATGCCGTAAAAAAATACGCACATATTTACATGTATCACTAAGTCAAGACGGGTTGAAATGCAATACTTTTCACGTGATTAATGCGGCAAGCGGTGAAGTTTACAGAAACGCGCATAAAACTATGGCTTTAAGTACATTAGCAGTTTTAAAAATATTCCATACATAAAGAGAATTTTAGTTAAAACCAGAGACTCCTAGACTCTTAGGTTCGATTCTTTTTAATTATTCCAATGGAATTATCTTAGAAACAAGATGACTGTATTGAATGATTCGAATAAAACAACACTGAGATTGCGAGAAACAAATGTAACTTTTAGCACCAAAGTAGCAAAATGTGCCCAATAAAGGAGATATCAAGCACAAATTCCGAGAGTTAGATCATTAAATACCCGATACAAATCCCGACCAGCAGCCATAATGTATTTATTCATCAATTTTTGTTAAAAGTTGCCATTTAAAATAACTAAAAAATTGTTTGCAAAACATGCACAAATAAAACAGCACTTTAGTTAGATTAATGAAGTTCTGGTTATGTTTGAACACAACCACACCTTCTTTAATCCAAGGAAAAATAACAAGAAACTGGTTAATATAACCCGTGCTAGAAAACACGGACTATTTGGAGCAAAGCTATTTTTTCTGGGGAGTTTGCTCACCATCGATCGTTCCGAACTCCCGCTCGTGGGCCCTGTTTAAGATTAGCTTGTAGAGAACTTCGGCCTCCTTGTACTTGCCCTGCTTCAGATAGCACGAGGCCAAATTGTTCATGGTTTTACTGACGTTGGGATCGTCGGCGCCCAGTCGTTTTTCGTAGATTTCCAATGCGCGCTGATAATACTTTTCCACCTCCTCGTATTTGCCCTGAAACAAAAAACGGCAAAAATCAATTTTAGTTTTAGGAAAAACTGGCGCGAAAACTCACCTGATTCTGGCAGAGCAAAGCCAAATTATTCAGTTGTTTCGCCACGTCTGGATGGTCTTTGCCTAGCACTTTTTCCCTGATATCCAGTGCTCGTTTGCACAGGGGTTCAGCTTCTTTATATTTGCCTCGTTTCCCATAAAGCACAGCCAGATTGTTCAGAGTGGCGGCCACTGCCGGATGGTTTTCTCCCAGGGTTTTCTCACGAATTGTTAGGGCGTCGTTCAGAAGATTGGCGGCTTCCTTGTATTTATTCTGATCTCTAACAATGTAAATATGATTCAGAAATGAACTAATGGAGTTTGCTGGGTGAAAATTGCTACCTGTAGACAAGAGCTAGAATATTAAGCATCGTGGCTACATCTGGATGATCGTGGCCGCTGGTTTTTTCCAAATCTTCCAGCGCCTGTTTGCATAAGGGCACAGCCACCTCATACCGACTCTGCAATCAAATTCGCAATTAATTGGTCATTTTGCCTGGCAATTTGACTAAAAAATCTCACTTGAGATGCGTATTGAATCACCAAGTTGTGCAACGTGCGTAGGCGGGCTGGAATTTCATAGCCCGCATTAACCTGTTGCGAAAGATTCAGTTGATTTTGTGTAGTGGGTGACATATCTGAAAAAAAATCAATTGAGTAAAATCAAAGAAAATATCATACTGAATGTTGGAGTCCAACTACTAGCATATGAACACAATCTCTATTGGGTTGAGGAATTTTTTAAAAAACTCTACTTAAAATCTCATCCAAGACTGTAAACGTTTACGACATACAATTTTGGCTTCTATTTTTTGAACACATTTTTTTGGAAATTTGTAATAAAACCTCAATGGCAAGAAAACGTTCTCGATGTGGGCTTTAAATAAGTCGTAATAACTGATGCGATATTTTCACCTGCTTCGGAAAAAAGAGACCTGTAAGGGAGCGGAATTGTCAATTTTCAGTAGGTTTTGTTACTAAAAAAACATGCTAATTTTTGCCAAATCACTTTAAAATTAAATGTAAAAAACTCATTTATCAAATGCAGAATGTCGGAATAAACGATGATTCTAAAACCATCTGAATAATCTCATAATTCTTTGATTTCATTTACGGTTTGTGGCCACCAAGTGAAACCTTTTACTTATACACGAGTCTACATAAAATGGGAATTAGGGCGGAACATTCTGGGGCCGAAAATAGATACCCTTAAGAACTCGAGTCGAATTAGTCCCAGTTCGCAAAGTTCCAAACTTTCCCGGAGACTCGCTCTATTTTCCCTGGGAGAATTTACATTTTCAAATTTTATTGTGTTGTTTACGTGAAACTGGCAAACTGCGCTTTGTTCGCCTCTAAGTGCACTTACTGTTTCGTTCATCATCTTGATCATCCGGGAACAAATCGACTACCAGATCCGTTTTTTCCGATCTTCCATCGCCTCCTTGGCCGTCCTCTTGGTCCTGATCGTACTTGCATACCGAGCGCATGAATTCCAGGTGGCGTTTTTCCTCTTCCAGCTGAGCCACTGCCTGAAACAAATCGGGAATAAGTCAGGGCTGAGTTTGAAGAAAATCAACCAAAATTACCAGTTCGCTGGCTTGAAGCCTTTGCTGAGTGGAGGCCAGCTCATCTCGAAGCCAGGCATTTTCCTGCACTAATCGACGCACTTGGGCGCGCAATTTTTGCTTCTCAGCTTCCACTATTTGCAAGTGATTTGCCAAGTGCATGATCACCTGGAACAAGAATAATGCCAATAAAAAAATCCCAAATTCTTCCCTCTGTGGCCCAATAAAATGCACCGGATCTAACCGTTCTATATGAATAGGATAGACAAAAATAAATCATTCATTTCTCTAATGGTACTTTCCCTTGGAATAAATGGGCCTTTCAAAGCAAATTACTTTTTGTGGGATAGCGAAACGGAATTGATCCGGATTCTATTATCAAACCTAATTACCATACTAATTCCTAGTGATGATAGGAATCTGGTTAATTAATCCAAAACAAAACGTATTGGAGTATCGGATAAAATATCTGAAATTGCTTTTTCCACGCAAATGCATAGATCCGCTCGATAGATTTCTCCTGAGCAATCAACCGCGTGTCCCGTGTGGAATTCATATTAGAAAGGCGCAAATCGGGTTTTATTTGCTGACAAAAGACGACAAATTATTTTGAAACCCCACACATTTAGCAAAAAAACTAAAAAAACATTATCAAATTGCAAAAGTTTCTCTTCTGTGCGATGAAAACCTGGGAATTTTTGCTCAACACAAAAATACTTGAAGACGAAACTCCAGAAGCTCAAAGAAACATGAAAATGCAGGAATTTCTGTTGGAAAAAACCTTTTCCTCATTGAATGCGCTTCTGAACCTTGCAAACTCTTGAAAAACGAATTTCCTGCTGGCAACATGGCTTGGAACGCAGCATGAGTCATCCAAAGGCGATCAATGAAAGTCTGCGAAAGTTCTTGGTTTATTAAAATTGGCTGGAGGTTTTATGAAAATAAACGTGGCCCACTCGAACTGTTTGGATCGCCAAAAGGGGGCCCCGACGTGAGTGAGCGAGCGTCTTAGCCGGAATGTTTAAGGTCACAGTTACGCTTTGCACAAGTTTAATTCACTATTGCAGTTAAAGACAATTGGCTTTTGATTTTAGTTGCGGAAAAAATGTTAAAAACCGGTATAAAATTGCTTTTGTTGTTCACACGTTGGTAGTTTCTAACACTTGAGGAGCCTTATTGGAGTTCTTTTAGCGTTTTTATATGCGTAAGGTCCAATACTGTTTTTAGGAGGAAAACGCATTTTATTCCCAAGTAAGCTTAATTTTCAAGCATTAACATGAAACCAGACATTTTGGATACAAAGACGTTAAGAGACAATGATACAATTTGTTGAAAAATAGAAACAACTTCGTACTGGAAAAGAATCACGCAGACGAAAATAAATAAATAGCTAGAGAGGAACAGAAGAAAGGACTCAATCATTAATTACACATTTAAAGGTTGACCAGGATTTCTACTAAAGAACTAGAAGAGACTTTAGTTGATGGCAGAAGAATAATATCTTCGTTTCTTTTTCGAAGAACTTTAGCTGAAGAAAATCTGCGATTTGCATTTATCTTCATACAGCAGAAATTGCTCTCTCAAGCCACTTTCTCAATTTAAAAACAATCTGACAAAAAAGGCACAAAAATAGCCAATCAGAAGCAATTCTATGAAAGAAAAAGGTTGAAAAGCGAAAGCATTTTTAAAGGAGTTTAAAGCCCTAAAGTCATCATTAAAAGACCAGAAAAAGAAGCAATCGAATCAATTTTGCCATTGCACTTTTTTCATCAGTTTGCACTGAGCCACTGAGTGCACTGAGTGCACTGAGTGCACCTGCACTGAGTGCACAATTCTGAAGATGGCAGCCATGCGTTCTTAAGTCTTGGGKTTTCCTTGCGTTCAGTTSTTTTCTTCGCTTCATTCGAGTTAATTTGTTTTCCTTGCCTTTAACGTTTTTCTCTCAATTGAATCCCCTCTTAATGACTCAGAGTCAATTTAATCATTCACTCAAGCAGCCAACATTATTTGGAAACTCAAAACCCCCGTATCAAGTTAAGCGAAAATCGCCGGAAGTTTCAGGGTGGAAGAGAATACGCAAAAATGCCCACTAAAGCATGATTAACCAAATGTGTAGACTGTAAATGACTAATGAACTTTATGTAGGTTATTTAATTCATTTCAAATTGCAGCGGTTGCGCTTGAAGACAATTTACTATCTATTTAGCAGGCCAAATTGAAATGCAAATTATATCGGGTATGCTGAGTGAACCAGGTTTAAACATACAAAAAGTGTCCATTTACAGTCAAATATTTCGACACAAACCGCACATAAACATGGATTAAAATGAGCAAAACGGCACTTAAGGTCTAGTGCGGCTAGGGGCTTTCAACTTGAGTTTTTTTGTTTAAAATTGCAATAGCGCGCTTACAAACTCAATTTCTAGTTTATAGTCGAGTTTAATTTAAAAAAAAAAACAAAATATCAACGATTATTGGCGAATAAACCCGTAAATGCGTCTTCTACATTAACTGAGTATAGAAATTTGGAATTTCTTGCAAAAATTGCCAACTTAGAGTGAGGCTAATTTTAGAAAGCGTTTTATCTATTTTCACCCCCTTTCGTGTCAGCCAGGCCTGAAACAATCCGAGCATGTTTATGCATCCTATCGATTCAAGTGGCTTCGTATCAAACAATCTAAAACGCTCATTATTTCCATTTGCACACTTTCGATCGCTTCATTTTAACGAAATGCCGCTGAATAGGTCAATCAATATTTCGAGAATTAAGTTGATTTATTGTCCTTTAAACAGCCCAAGGGAAATGAAAGAATCTTAACAAAAACTTTAATATTCCTGCCTTTTGCAACATGTTGCAACAGCAAATTAAAGCTAATTTTCCAAGAATTTTTACCTGTGCTTCTCCAAGTCCAAGCTCAATCATCTCCTGACTCTGATGGACCAAAGTCTGGCGTTCTTGAGCCTCAGGAGCATCCGGAGTCATGCTGTGCAGAAGACCGGCATGTTCGCTGCGCAGAGCCTCTAAACCTTGAGCGACGGTTCGCACGGCCGCCACGATTTCCTCCTGCGTCATGGCGGTCATCTTCCCCAGACTTTCGATCTTCTTGCTGGAAAAAGACGAAAAAAACTTCTGATAATTTTGCGTCAAAGTGAAGAAATTTGGCTCTAAGAATCCATCGTTTGATGGTCAGAATCTCAACTATTAGCTAGTGGAAACACACAGCAAACAAACTGAATTAACTGGACGCAAGCAGTAGATAGAGAGCAGGCTTTGAAAGGAGGAGAACAACACTGGGGAGAAGCATAAAAAAATTGAAAAATAAAACTTACATCCTATAGGCATTAATGGTTTTAGACATTTTCCACTCGGCTCCAGTTTACCATTACCGACTAAGTTTTGCAAATATTGAGCTCTACTGTGTGTCAGTCTTTTCGAGAATACTACTGTTAAATCCCAGATTTATCACAAAGTTAACATCAAACACACCGATTATTTTTTACTAAGAAGCTGTTATTTGTTACTCAAAGCGTTTGTATAGTTAAGGCATAAAAATTATTATCTTACAGATTTTGGGTTTAGTTTATTGTTTTAGAATCTGAAACAAAAAGAAACAGACATTGATCATTGAGTGCAGTTCTTTGATGGCGTTGTATTGTACTGATGACAAATAAATTCATTTTCTCTAACTTTTCTAGGGAATTTTTACGGATCTACAACTATTCTACATGAAACTTGATGCCAATTAACACTCTAACCAAAAGTCACCCAAAACACTTTCTATAATCTGGAAAAGAGCACGTACTGAAGTAAATCGATTTTTGATTTTCACAACAAATCAATTCTTATGCACCAACGAAGCGATTTGATCGAGAAAAGGCCTTTGAAATCCCCGCAAGGCTTAACCTAAGTCTAGTCAATTCCTTTTTAGAAAAATAGCAAATTCTGAAAAGTCGCTTTATTATCGTCAATTTTTCTGGACGTTTTTCTGAATTGAAAAGCTCCGATTTTCCTATGCGCCACTCATAACTGATTTTCCTACATTTTTCCCACAACAGCAAAGGGAAATCTAAAGGGCTAGAATGGGTCAAGAACAGTCTACACTACAAAATGTCGCGAACGCTACTGCCTGAGGAAAGGGTGGTTTTTTAGTACAATCAGTATGTACTAAATACACTGCGTAGATTGTATAAGGGTTAACTCAATTGTACTCAGCTAAACTGCTCAACAAAATCAAAGTTACACTGATAAATTTGGACTAACTTTGAAACTGGGTGAATGCTGACTACATTAGGCGATTCAATTTCTGTTTGGAGCCATATTTAGTGCAATTCTTTCTCAATTAGTGCCTCTTTGTGCAAAAAATTAGTGCTTTACATAAAAATTTACCGGGGCGGCAAATGAAACATTGCAAAATCTGCAAAAGTTCCACATGGTCTCAGTTGAGCAAAAACCTTTTTTTTTTATTTCAATGCCCCAGGCATTAAGTTAAACCTGGTATCTCGAAAAAAGTGATTGCATTTTTCGCCCAGCTCGTTTGCTTACAGAGAGGTCTCAAAAAAATCAACTTTTGGGTTGTTCTGATATTTTTTATTGTCTTCAACCGTTTTTCAAAATCTGGGGCTCATGTTGAACGCAAAACTTCACAGTCGACTAAAGAAAAAACCATCAATACCCGGGGTGCATAAAGGATCGAAATATTTTAAAGTAAACTTCACTTAGTTGGAAATTTTCTAGAATCACAGATTTCGGTAATTTTCTATGCAACCCTGTATATCGAAATGAAACTCGGACCAAGAGCTGAAAAATTATCGTTGCAAGACCCAAAAGTTGATTTGTAGAAACCACCCTGTAAATAGAAGAGAAGGCCGAAAAATTCAAAACCCGTTCGCTTTTTGGTTTATTATTAAACTTTTTGGTGCTGAGATCCAAGAAAAGTCTTTTTCGTTTTTGTCCAACTGGGAGCATGCCAAACTTTGCAAAATTTGGCATTTTTTCGTTTGCCACCCTGTAGAAAATTTATCCGAGGTGCTTAATTTTTAGCACGACTTGCACTAACAAAAAAAATAGCTGCAAAAATCGCGCAATTGTTAATCACAATCAATCAGGGCTTAAACAACTATCGATTTATATGAAATATACAGCATCAATCACTTCCTAAACTGAACAACATTTTTAATACTAAATCCAGTTCAATTTCACTTTAAGCAACAACCCTTAAAAGCCACAGGACGCCAAGTTAAAAAGGACGCAGGGCGTCTAAGTTGCGACGCCCAAAGTGCATGCGTCGACAATAAAGCAGGGGAAGTTTTCCTGCTGCTGGATGCGCATTATCGATGTTTTGTGACGATTCATAATCATTCAAAGCACGAATATTGAAGCTTCACATAGTTCGATTTCCGCCAAAAAGGCTTCAACCCCCCACAAGTTTAGGGGCTAAATTGAAAGGGATTTTTAGAGCCAGAGTAATGTCACATAACTTAATTTTCCCCAGGGATGTCGGCAAGAGTTTATGGGCAATAAAAAGGGTAATAAATGAGGCCCCGACAGCTTTTATGACCCTTTCCGTAAATAACACTGATTATTTATAATCGCCATTAAACTTTGAAAAATGCATTTCAAATCAATAACATTCACTCAATTAACATCGTCTAAACTGGTGATTTTCGATAGAAATTTGGTCCTGACGCTTCACTAGCAGGCATGGCTGGCATCTTCGAAGTTGTATCTTCAGAGGTGTCTAGTACTGAGATGCTAGTTTCTGAAGATGCCAACCAGGCATGATAGCGAAACGTCACGACCAACTTCCTATCGGCGACGACCTAATAACCCATACAACACTCGTTTTCCATTTTAATACCTGCGCCTGCTAACATTTTTTGAATTTGCCCAATGAAAACAGCTTTTCCCGCAAAGTTTGAAAAAGTTTCCAAAATCAACGGAAATTCTTGCAGATCGAAAACTTGGAATTCTTCAAATCTGGTGATTTTGTTATAAATTTTGAAATATAAATGTGCCCACTTGAAACGAAAAAAGAAACATTTTGAGATAAATATTGTAACATTCACAAAAATCAACTGGAAATCCTGGAAACTGAAATTTTGACATCTATACCTCTTCTACCGAAATACAAAAAATCCACTTTATTACCGGCGCTTGACAACATAATGTTTGAAAAACATTTTAATCCTTTTTCCAGATAAAATCGCACACAGCAATTTTCCAGGTAAGTAAATAGTGAAAACTTATGAAAACTCAAAGAGAGTGCAGTTATTTACAGCTTCTGTCTATTCAAAAATAGCTTTTGCGTTGAGAAATACTTTAAACTTGAACCAACATATACAGGATGATGGAGGGAAGCCCCTTTGGGACACATTAGAAAACGGAAAATTTTAACATTTCTGGAAAATTAATTCGTAGACCGAATTGACTTAACTGTACTTTTGTACAGTCATTAACCAACCCTTCATCTAAGAATGTGCAAAATTGTAACTTTAGGTCGAGGCCCAAACACACGCAACCAATGAAAATTGATTCCAGTGTTGACTGAATCACCCTGTATTACATGGTTTGTATTATATTTCATTATTATTGTGTGCAACTAAAATGCACAGAAAAAAAAAGTAATTAAAAACAGCATTGGTTTTGTTGCTTTAAATAGACCACCCTGTATATATTTTAGGCTTCATTTAATTCTTTGTTAGATTTCGAATATTTATATCCCACTGATTTTACTTGAAAAAGGTACTGAAAGTCTTACGCAATCTCCTGAATAGCACAGTAAACGGGCGATAAAGAAACTGAAAAAAAAACACACAAGCAATTTGAACAGAGAAATGGTTTAAACATGTTGTTCAGTGAGTGCTTTAGTGGAGTTTCATTGAAAAATGCGTGTTTTCTACTGCCGGGTAAATCATTTTATTGAATAATTACAAATTTGCAGATGTTTTGGAATCGAAATAACTAACAAATTCAGTGCATTTTGCACACATTTTTCAACATTCAAGTAAATAAGTCTGCAAAATAGTTAATGGTCTAGGACAGAATTGCGCCCTTAATTTTTGTTTTAAATGATCAAGTGTGGGAATATTGTCGATTATTAACCATGAAACATTCACTGGATTATTTCACGCCTATTTATACTTCATCTGGGCTCTAATAGATAATCGAGTGGTTTAAAAGAACAACAAAAAGACAAAGAAATGTGCGGTTTTCCATAAACCATTGAGCACTAAGAACAACCACTTTCTGAGTCGGAAGAAAGGGACCAAATCCTTTGTATTAGAACTTGTTTAATTGCAAATAATCAAAAGATAAAGAATTAAATATAAAATGCAAATAAAATTAGAAAATTTGGCTCCTAACGGACGACTAATTAGCCATATAAATAAATCACCCTGTGGTGTCCGGGAATATGCAGAAAATGCCTCCGATACGAAATTAACACATGAAAAAATATTGCAAAACACTGCGAAAAAATTGGAATATACCTGGTGGCACAACAATTTTGTAGTAAAGAAAAAACTTGATTTTACTGAAGCTGTTTGGAAAGCCATTTCAAGTTGATTCGCGTGCCTATGAAAGTCTAGAAGAGTCCGTAGGAGTCGAAAAACTATTGAGAAGATTTCCAGCCCTATACACAGTACAAGAGTACCAGAAATGAATATTCTCTTTGTTGGATTTCCCAAAAAAACGAGGGCTAGCCAATTAAGTGAAGTAATGAAAGATTCAGCTTATAAATGTGACAATAGAACCAAGCCAATGAACATTTCCATAAACAGGCGGTTGCATTCAGTATTATGAATATTACCCAACCGTACGAGGAACAATAACCATTAGAAATACGCAATAAATAACCTGGATTTCCTTTAAAAGGGCTTGTTATATCGAATTTGGACTTACAGGAGAAAACAAATTGAGAAAAAAATTACCAAATAAAACAGAATTTAGGAAACTACTTAGTTTCCCCCGTTGATCTTAAGATATTTATATGAAATTAGAATCAATTTGGTGCTGTTAAAGCGTCTGAACAAACCTTGCTGTAGTGTGATGAATCAGCGACAGAAATGCGAAAAGTGAAGTGTAACCAAGGATAACACAGCCGATAATTTAAGTGTATTTGTTCCCTTAACATGCTGATGATGCCAGTCCTAAAATAGCTAGGATAATAACCTCTAATTGAGCACCTACATAGAAAACCTGTCTGTCGGACAATCACATAGAATCTACGTAACAAAAATCAGAAATATGCTCTATGTACTATTTAAAAAAAATGGTAAACTATCTGGGCAGGTCATTGAATACTTACTCCTTATTGCTACCATCCATAACAAGAAAAAAATCGACAGTGGCTGTGTTTAGACAGTTAGCAGACCATTGTAAATCACCTATAGAGAAATGCGAGTAAAAACAGTATCAGACATCTTGTAAAAACCGCAAAATATTGAGAAAAACTATCGCCTAGTGGAACTTCAGCCAGCTACAACCACTTGATGGGTTTCTCGTGAATAATTCGGTGCAAACAGGCCGAAATCGATGCGAGTGCGAGTTTCAAACAATTGGTGCAATTACTTGGAATCAACTTACACTAATATTGAACAAAAATCGCAGTAAATACACACAGAACACAATATTTTACAACACGATCACCAATTGATTAGTCAACTTTGGGGAAAGTATGGCTGCGTTTGACGGAATCGTGACGTTTGACGTGCCGTCAGGCGACAGCAGTTCCAGCATTGCCGGAATACCATCAATTTCCCGCTGCTGAAGATATATATAGGGTGTCGCCTAAACGTCCAATGTTTAACCTGATACTCCCGAAGAAAATTAAGGTTTTATGCAATTGTTTTCGTATCGCATCAGAATCGCGATAAAGGAAAATGCCAGGCACCCTTCTAGACCGGTTTTGAGCCATTAGCTGTGTTTAGCCTGAAAATAACATTCCCGAATTGATCCCCTCGTTAAATCCCGTGAAAATGGAGAGCAAGCCTTTGGAAACAAAAAAATCAGGCCAATATTGAAATAAGGGCACAAATCTTCCCAATTTAAAATGTATTTATTTTTGACACTAAAACAATAATAAATTTGAATTTACCATAGGAGCGTTTGCCCGAAACACAATATTAACCTAATTATATCAGGTAAATATAGTGAACACCATTTTTAAGCATAGAGTGAAAGTAATGTAAAAAAAGAAACACATCGTTACGAATTAAAAGAGCAGCAGCATGTAACTGTTATCCTGCCGTTAAATTGCATCGATATCGACATCATCTTCGCCTTCGTCCTCCGGTTTGGAAGCCTTCGCAGGCGTGATGGTAGCCGATTTGAGTGGCGTAACTTGAGCACGATCGTTGTACTCGATTTCGACCTTAAACATTCAATCAACTATTCAGTCGCGTTCCCAAAAAATTCAAAGGCAACTTACATCATCATCAGACTCCTCTTCGGACTCTGATGATTCCTCATCAGCTTCCTTGAGCCACTTTACAAAAGGTGCCGCCTTATTATGAATCTCCTGGCTTACCTCCTTAGGGACGTACTTCTTAGACACCTGCAGCAAAAAACACCAACAGCGGTAGAGTGAAACACTCAAAACCACCCTCAAAATTACCTTCTCAGCCCACTCAAGCAGAGATGCCTCTTGCAAAATATCCAGATCGTAGAGCACCTTCAATATGGCAGGAACTCTCGGCATCAACACGTCCTTATGCAAAGCTACAACTTGTTCCAGTCCCCCAATTAGATAACGCTGAGCCTTTTTGTCGTTCAGTGTAAAACGTAGCAGTAACAGACGATATTTTTTTGCCTGCAAGGTTTCCATTCAGAAACAAAACTTTGGCAATAATAGTGAACTACCTGTTGCAAAGCATTCTGATCGAAAAGCAGTTCCATCAGAACCAACGGGGCCTTCGTTTTAATCTCCAAACGTTCAGCTTCAGCCAAAAGCTCCTTCTGATCATCCGCCTTGTCCAAAATGTCTGCATCCAACTTCCTCTTTACTTGGTTATAAAAGATGTCCATGCGCTCCTTTTCGGTCTTTTCCAGATCGTCACTGATTGTCATGCACTTGGCTCCATCAGTTAGATCCTAAGCAACAAACCATCAATTGATTTGCAACGTCAACCCAAAAGAATGAGAACCCGTTACCTGCATGCGAGCGCGAACGGCCTCTTCGGACACATCAACTGTCCACACTTTTTCGTTATCATCCTCCTCTTCGGCTCCATTGTCTTGCGAAGCATCCAAACTTTCCAAGCCGGATTCATCAACATTATCAGGCCCATTTTCACCGTTCACCTTCTTGCTGCGCTTATTACGCTTGCCCTCAGTCAAAGACGAGCCCTGAACGGCTGGATTCAGATTTGGAGGATTTTTCAAAATGAAAGTCATCAGCTTATGGTTGCTGATCAGAAGCCCGTGGTAACCACATGCTTTGCACCCCTTTAAACAACCATGATTGTCATAAACCCCGTAGTAAAATTTCTGCAAAGGAACTGGCAGTTTACCTGGGAAACGGTGTTTTTTTTGGTGCTGACCAGTAGATCGGTTTCAGGATTTTCGCACTCTGGACAAAGGACGAATTTCCGAATAAAGCCATCGAGTAAATCTTGCAATTTGATGGCGTCGTGAGACCCATTCACAATAAAACGCTCGTTCTATTGGGGAATTACGGGGGTTAAGGCAAGGCAAAAGGTAAAATAATAAAGGTAGTGAAACACACCTTGAAGTCAAACAGTGTTTGGGCGCCCAACTCGCAACCAAAATATTTGGTGGGGTAAGTGGGCGGCCTGCCAAGAGCCTTTGCAACTTCAGCCATGTTCACTATCACGGTTTTTATGCCGTTGCCTTTGCCCTCTACCTATAACGAAAATATCCAGTTCAGCATCGTTCATTTCACCCTCATTTAGCTTACTTTGGCAACAAGCCGGGGCATCTTGTAGCGATAGAAAACATCGCTAACATTTCGGTTAACGTTCACGCTCATCTTGAGGCGTGCGTTTACTCGGCTGACAAAAGGAAGAACACCTGCAAACGAGGGTGTTTCAATAAATGAAATACATCCATATTCCATCGCGCAAAAAAACAACTTACCAATTTAAACTAAAAAAAAGGTAGGGTAGAAGCGCCCGTCTGGATGATGTGTTGAACCAGACGTCCTAATGATGGCAATAGAGGTAAGCTAAAAACAAAACGTGACGGTCGATGATAGCGTTGGTATCGGCAGGGTAGAAAAGTCACGTTTCTCTAAAAGGCTGCAGTTTCCGGTGCCTATTGGAAGAAAATTTTGTAGTCCTGCAAATCGAAAATCAAATTGAGCGTCGCGCTCTCTTTTAGCTAGGGCTACTGCATACCTAAAAGGGGTAAGCTTTCGACGCTGCGAAGTCATACACCTCGCTGGCTCGGGCCCTGAACTCCCAACTATATTTTTGGTTAATAATGTCTCTGAAACCAGAAAAACAGAGTCGCTTTACTACGTTTTTGCAAATGGTACTAGAACTTAATCGAATTGACAGAGTTTTTGAAGAAGAAATGAGATAATCAATCGGGACTAAGAAAAACTTCCCCAATTAGCTACTTTCATTTGCAGGTCATCCTATATATTTCAATGCTTTTAAACACTCGTTTATATAAAGATTATTATTGAGGCAACTAAGCAAAGAACAATACTATCATTATTTCGGATATCAAGTCGACAGACGAACTTTCCTGGTTGAAACGAATGGTTCCCTTTAATACTTGATTAATTTATTTCTAGGGTTTATCGATTAAACAATTTTCTGGTTGCGTCAGCGTGAGATAGATTCACTAATTACATGTGTGCATAGATCGTAAAATATGGCTTCTTATCTGAGCTTGAGTAGGTTGACGACAAAGCCTTTATATATGACAAAAATAGCCCACACAATATGTAGCTTGATCCTCAAAACGGCCGGCAATATTTCACTGAAACCCACTTACATGTATGTGGCACTTTACATATAACGCTACTAGGCTGGGACACAATACTAAATACTAAAAACGCCTTTCCTGCTATTTGCTGATGACACGAGTTAGAAATTATGACGTTGATTCTTCAACGGGTGGCAATTTTTTTATTTCCTCCAAAAACCCTTCTAACGACTTACCAGTTGATTGAGCGTGCTGCGTTTTACATCACTTTGTCTATGATAAGTTAAGTGCGGTATTTTGCGGAAACTTCGCCCCCCAACTTCACCACCCAGCAGAATAATTTTGAAAAAAACTCTGTATACCGAGACACAAGGGGGTCTTTACTTGCAAAATAGCGGTGCTTTTCCGATTTCTTATGCGAAGGAAACATTAAAATTTTGAACTGAAAAACACTCCCAATGTTCAACTAGGGAAAACCCAATCCAAATTGACCAGACAAGCTGACATTGCCAAAGTCAGAGATTTTGGATAAGGCTGTGCTTAGAACAGTAGAATTTGTCTTTCTGGATCAAAATAATCTGGTATATTGGAGAAAATCCGTTCAAATCGCCTGCTTACAGGCAGAGGTTCAAATGTCTGATAGAGGCGTTTTTTCTTTTGAAACTTCTTCAACAACCTTTACAGACGTATTGCTATCAACTAGTGCGGTTGCACAATCAGTCTCTACTTGATTTCTTCAAAATTAGTGTCTTCTGGAATTAATACTTCGGGCAAATTAGAAATATCTCTAGTCTTGACATTTTCCACTGTGGAATTTTAGTAAGTGTCTTGAAAGCTATCAATAATGCCTGCATTCGCCATTCTGATTACTTCCATTTCCCTGATTTCATTTTCGCTTAGGCGTCGATGTTCTGTGGTGTCTGTTACAGATTCGGTCTGGATTCTATATCAGACTGAGCTTCGACTGGCGCATTTTCTTCATTCGGAATGTTTTCTTCTATCGGCAATTCTGGGCCGGAAAATTGCTCAACTTCAGTAGCGATTTTAATTAAATTGGCGTCTTCATCTAATGCTGGCAAATCCTGCAGGGGTTTATCGCTAGTTGGCCCA